ATGAGGACAATCCACCAGACAGGGCCGTCTCCATGGTCGACAGTCCCCCGCAGCAGGCCGAGGAAACCGAAACCAACGGCCCCAGCGACAGAGATGGCTCCCACAAGCGGGCAGTGCTGTGGGCAGTCCCCCCCGCCAAGGAGGAAGCGGTCACTTGGGCGCCATGCGCGACGGCCCGCTTCCGGGAGGACATGGAAGAAGTCCGTGACAACAGGAAACTAGGAGGGAAAGGGAGCAAGCCAGACTGCCGTCAGGAGTCTATCCCGGAGCTCGCAGCGCCAGCGCACGACGCCCGCCCGACGCCCAGCCCCCGGCAGGACAGCAGCCCAGAGAGACGGCCTCGCCCACAGGCAGAGCCACTCCCACCTCCACATCAAGACGACCCCCTGGGAGGGCCCCCCATGTACATGAGGTCCATCGAGGCCGACGTCCAGAGGGACGAGCCAGCCCCAGAGAAAGTCACCGGACTACAGAAGACACTCGGAGGCGCATTCAACGGGGCGTGGACAGGTTGGGTCCGCAGGGCAGGCGGCCTGCAAGGTCTGCCTCGGGTCAGCATCCATTCGGACCCCAAGAGGAACGCAATGGAGCTGTGCGAAGAATTCCTGCGGGCGTGGGAAGCTGCGGGCTACGACGCCTATAAGTTGGTGAGGCACCGCCATCTCCGGGTGGAATGGCAGAAGGTCACCGAGAAATATCGTAGCCTACTACAGCGCAGCGCAAGGATCAGCGCACCCAAGGGGCAAGACAGCGAGGGCCACCCATGCCCTTGGTCCGACAGCAGCAGGACAGTACCCACCCCTCCGGTCCCACCCGACAGGGCAAGCCACCGCGAGCAGACCCAGTCCTCTAGCACGCGCAGCGGGGCTTCGCAGCAGCACCCGTGGAGCAAGCCCAGAGTCGGCGCAGCCGCCCCGCCAGCGTACACCGACTACAGGGAGACCACCTGGTCGGGAGCATCCAGCTCTGGAGCCCCATGGCGCCCAGGGCCGCGCTGGGAAGGGTGGGGCCACCAGGAGAGTTCATGGAGGGGCGCTACGTGGGGAAACAGGGAGAAAAGGACCGCCCCGAAAAGTGACGAGCAATGCGCTGACAAGCGGCAGCGAGGAAGGGAACTCGCGCGCTGGTAGCCCGGCAGCTGGCCTGGCAGGGCCCCCCCGACTAGGGCAGGGCCGACGCTACCAAAAGCCGCCAAGGCGCACGGCGTTGGGCTCCTGGGACAACGAGTGACCCCCTTCGCGGAAGACTTGCCGCGCCCGTATACCGAGGGATTGTCCTCCCCCTAGGACGGTCCCACCTCGGACGATGTCCTGCGGCTCTGGCCGCTCCCCCCCGCCTCTCGCTTCACTTTCCAATTCCGCGGCTATCGGCTGCGTCTCCCCATCCCTCGTCGCCACTTGCTATCAGTTGTCCTGCGGCTATCGGCTGCTCCCCCCCTTCCTCGTCGCCACTGCTTTTGCACTCAAGACCTGCGGCTATCGGCTGCTGCCCCCCCTTCCTCGTCGCCACAGGGGAGCGACTACCGCTGGGCCCCCCGCGCACCGGCAAGAAGAGTTGCGGTGGGCCCCATGGCCACTGGGTTCCCACTAAGCGGCCACACCTGTCGGCACAGCCAGCGACAGGACGTGTTTCACCGAGGCAGTGGGCCGCGGGGGCAGACTGATGTTACCTCCTGGGGTTGAGGTGCGCCCCCCGCCACCGCGATAGTTCCTACGTTCTCGTGGGCCTTTAGCCCGTGCGGCCGGCTGAAATAGTCCCGTCGTCGGTTTGGCCGCATTGACGGCCCGTGGAGCACCGAGCAGGCTCGCTTAAGGCGTTTTCTCCTCACTTCTCGGCACGCTCCACCCAGTCACTTTGCCCGTGCCGTGTGCGGGTCGGGACGCATTGGGCGCTGGCGCTGGCCGCATTTGCAGTCGGCAACGTGCAGTGACTTCCACGTCGTCGCTCGCAGGAGCGACTGCCGCTTCTGATTCCCATGCACATGGGCGTGTAGACAGTGCGGTCGGCATTTTTGGACTCATGGTTTGGCCGCTTGCCGGCCCGCGGCGGACAGGGTCGACGGCCAAAGGCGCCGCAATGCCGTCTGAGCTAGATGTTGGCTCTGGCTACAGTTTGTGCCTCCTGGGAGCGGAGGCACCACGCCGCCATGGTACCTGCGGCCACCGCGGGCGCCCTCCCCTGTGGTTGGCTGAAATAACCCTTCCCAGGCATTGACTGGGAGTGTGGGCCGTGAGAAGTATGCTCAGTGGCCCGAACCCCCTCGGTGGCTTGTGTGTGGCCCGCGTGCACGCTGGCCCACGCACTGGGAGTCAAGTGAGTGGATTTGCCACGCTTCCCCCTAGGTTGTGCTGCCCATCTCTCCTCGCGCCTCCTGGCAGTCAGTACTCCACCTGCGGGTCCGACTTGTTTCCGCCTGGCCCCCTTCTGCTGGCACACGCTCAGCGGCTTTCGGGGTCCGTGTTGTGGCACCAGGGCTTCCGCTGCCCCCACCGCGGTTGCCCTCTTTGCTGACACGTGCTCAGCGGCTGGGCTCGCGTTCGGTTTGCTTCCACCCGCGGGCTGAACCGTGACCGTCTCTTTTTAATTATCTGCAGGTGCACTCTGCGCGATGTCGCGCCAATTATCTGTCGCTGTGCCCCAGCCTCGGTCACGCCGCCCTCTGGACTTCTCCTTGCGGGCCGCGAATCAAAAAAGTATCCACGTCAGCGTTCCGTCTCCCGCCGCTGCTTTGAGGTCTCCGCTGGATCTTATTGACGGCGCGCGGCTCTTCCGCTTGCGCTCGCGAGCAAGAGCAATATCCACGCCAACCCGTCCAGACACGTTGCCCACGTAGCTGACGGGAAAAGCGACGAAACGACACATATAGTGAGACAGAGCGGGTAACCGAGATGAGCATAGAGATCTCAAAGGGCCTTTCGGGGCCAGGGGGGCCATCCTGGGGGCCCGCGCGGGGTCAGGGGGGCGACGGGGAAGAGGAAGAGGAAGAGGGGGACGAGGATGAGGATGAGGATGAGGATGAGGATGAGGATGAGGATGAGGATGAGGATGAGGATGGTGGTGATGATGGTGATGCTGCTGATGATGATGAGGAGGAGGAGGAGGAAGAGGAGGAGGAGGAGGCAAACCGCCTCCTGGGGCCCTCGTGGGATGCTCTTGGGGCGTTCTTGGGGCCGTCTTGGGCCGTCTTGAGGCCCTCTTGGAGCCTTTTCGGGAGCCCTGCAGGGCCTCTTGAAGCCATCTTGGAGGTTTTCGATCAAAAACGGGGGGGTCTTTCATTTGCCTCCCCCCCTGGGGCCATCAACATCGCATCTTGCGGCCCTCTTGGGGCGCTCTCGGGTCGCTCTTGGGCGCTCTTGGGGCCGTCAGGGGGTCTCTCGGGACCATGTTGGGCCTCTTTTGGGTCATCCTGGGGCCACCTTGGGGCCTCACAAGCGCGTCGGACGCGAAAGGGCGAGGAGACACAACTCATTTCTTCCATATGCGTGTGAATGATTTTGGCCTCTTGGGGGGTCTTTATATGGGGATTCCGAGAGCACTTGGAACTGTCTTGTGGCCGCCGTCGGGCCTCTTGGACGTACGTATGTCGGAAGCTATCTCGAACCGTCGTCGGCTATCTTCAGCAATCTTGGAGGCCATCTTGGAGCATCGGAGGCCCTCTTGGAGCCATCGTGGGCCATCTTGGGCGCCCCGACCAATCGCGAACCCCCCAGGAAACCTCAGGGAGGGGGGGGAGGTAAGCCTCCCTGAAGGGAGGTAAACCTCACTGAAGGGAAGAGGGTTTTGGAAGAGGAAACACATAATTCGTTAGACCACTGAAGTCCACATGGTTGGTGGGATAAGGAACAGGGATGGGGTAGGGTAGAATCGAGTAGGGTCGAGTAGAGCAGAGTAGAGTAGAGTAGGGTAGATGGTAGAGAAGAGTCGGATACAATAGAGTCTAAGCTTTTCGGGTTCTATTTTTCTTGCGCACAGAGTGGTGCGCGCTCGAACCTCCGCCGCCCCCCTTCCCGCCCGCCCTGTGCTCGCCTCCGTGGAGAGCGCGACACCCCGTTCAGGGCAATGGCGTTGATTCAATGCTCGGATTCACGCGCGCTCCCCCCCCTCCACCCCTTGAGATTTTGTAGCCTCCTGGCCCCAAACGGAGTGGCGTGCCTGCGCCGATAGAAGCAAAGTCTGGCGTGCCTGCGCCGGTGCCTGCGATGACAGGGCGATGCCTGCACCGTATTACTTGACGTGATGGGTGTGCCTGCGCTTTACACTGGGCTGTGCCTGTGCTGATAACCGTTGCCCGCGGTGCCTGCGTTAACAGCGCGATCGCGAGGATATGCCTGCGCCCTATTATTTCACGTGCCCGCGATGCTTGCGCCTGACCGCGCACTGCGTCCGCGCAGAGAAATCGACTGCCCCCGCGGCGCCTGCGTTGACAACTCGATGGCGAGGCGATGCGGGCACCCTTATCTTAGACTCGCCTGCGGTGATTGCGATGAGTCACGCGCGGCGGCTGCGCTGATCGAGCGACGGAGCCCGCGGCGCGCGCGATATCGCCGCCATGGCGGGGCGATGCTTGTGACTTGATATTCGTCGTGTTTGCGGTGCCTGCGCCGAGACACACGCAGCGCCTGCGCTGATACAGCGACGTCGCTGGTCTTGCGTGGAGCAGGCAACAGCCACGTGGGCGTGCAAAGCACCGAAATCCGCGCTTGAGAGGTCGACCCTGGGACGGTTCGGTCGCTACCCGGGGCAAGCCCCTCCCCCCCCCCTCCACGGGTAATGGTAGCGATCGCACGTAGGGGGGTGCCTGCACCCCCCCACCACCCCGATGCTCACGCGCGCACTGGCGATCGCAGCGCGTCCCCGCCCCGACGTGCCCCACCCCGCCCAAGCGTTAGCGCCACCTGGGGTCCCAACCCCTCCCACCCCAGGGGCAACGGCCGCTGTTGGAAATAGTGGCAAACCAAGCTCAGCTTCCTCTCCGCCGCGACCTCCCCCCTGGGCTGGGGATGCAGCAGGACGCGGCCGAGGGCCCCGACGCAGAGGCCGCCGGCGGCGCGCCGCCCCGGCCGAGCCCACCCGCTCCCGCCAGCGAGGCCGTGTTCCGCCTGCGGCCGCTGGGGGCGCCTTGGGCGCAGTGGCCCCCGGGGCGCCCCGTGCTCGACGCCCTCGAGGCTGAGCTGGCCCGCGCGGGTGCCGTGGGCCCGGGCCGGCTGATCACACTGGACAGCGGCGCTGGGCGGGTCTCGACTACACGTAAGAGTGACCTTTCGCCGGAGGGACCTTTGGTGCGGGCACAGATGGGGCCCCAGGTGGCGGAAAGCAGAGCAGGAGCAGCGGCCCGCGCGCCCAGGTTTGGTCCCCCCTGCGGCCACCAAAAAGCCGCGCACCAGAGGTCACTCTTACCCTCGGGTCACTCTTGCGTGTAGCCGAGGGTCGAAGAGGAGACACCTGCTCAAACATTGGCTTCTGGAGGTCTGCGCAGATCTCCCGGAGCGGCGCGAGGCCCCCCTCCTTGGCGCGCGGGGCGTGCCAGGGGCGGCCCTGGAGGCGGGGGTCACCGCCGGTCCAAAGGATCTGCGCGGGTCTCCAGAATTTGATGCAATTGCAGATTTCCTTCTTCGAGACGGGGCGGGGCGGCGAGCGGCATCTCTGCGGACTTCGTGGTGGTGGACTCCGAGGTGGGGGCCGCTGCGCCTGCCGGTGGCGGGGCGTGCGTCCGCGTCGCCCTGGCGGACGGGGAGCCTGGCGCGCTCTGCGCGAAGTGCCACGTGCTGCCCTACGACGACGCCAAGCCGCCGAACCCGAGCCTGGTGTACGGCGAGTACCTCAAGCCATACCTGCGGGACCGCTGCGGCCCGCTCTACGCCGGGTTCGAGTTCGCCTTCAGGGGTTGCCGCTTCCGCGTGATGGCCACCCTGCCGCCCAGCTCCGAGCGCCACGCGCTGTTCGTGGGCCGCGACACCGAGATCTTCGCGGAGGGCCCGCCGCTGCAGCGGGGCTTCCTCCGCTCCGCGCTGGTGCTGCCCTACTTCGGCTCCAGTGCACTGCTGGGGGGCGACGGCGCCTCCCCAGAGGCCGCCCGGACCGCCGCCGTGCTGAGGCACTTCGAGCAGCGGAGCGCTGCCGTGAGGGCCACGGAGGAGTTCGTGACGGAGCAGGGCGTGCGCTTCCGGGTCATGTCCTGCGAGCCCAGCTCTGGCGCCATCGCGCCGAGCACGAGACTCTCCTGCGCCGGCCCAGAGCTCATGAGCTGCGCGGTCTGCGGCGCGCTCGCCGTGCGGAGGTGCGAGGCACCTGGCTGCGGCAGGCTGCTGTGCTCCGCGCACGCGCTGGAGGACGGCCAGAAGCGCCTCTGCCCCGAGCATGGCCAGCGGCTGGGAGGCTGCTCTGTGCAGTAGCCTGGAGCCACCCGCCAGGTCGACTGCGCTCATTCCAGCGTGGCCCGTGCATTGGGCTCGTGCCTGAAGGGGATGCGGGAGCAGGGGGAAGGGGCAGACGGATGAGGGGGGAGGAGGAGGAGGAATGAATGAGGAGGGAGGGGGAGGATGGAGGAGGAGGAGGAGGAGGAGGAGGAGGAGGAGGAGGAGGAGGAGGAGGAGGGAGGAGGAGGAGGAGAGGAGGAGGAGGAGGAGGAGGAGGAGGAGGAGGAGGAGGAGGAGGAGGAGGAGGAGGAGGAGGAGGAGGAGGAGGAGGAGGAGGAGGAGGAGGAGGAGGAGGAGGAGGAGGAGGAGGAGGAGGAGGAGGAGGAGGAGGAGGAGGAGGAGGAGGAGGAGGAGGAGGAGGAGGCGCGCTCTGGGGAGCCGCGGCCGCGCCAGGCCAGGAAATTGACGGCGTACTGCTCGGACCCCCGCCTCCCGCTTGCCCTGGCCGCCGCCGCCGCTGCCGTCGCCGCCACTCGGGCCGCCGTTTGGCGGCCGCCGCCGCCGCCGCCGCCGCCGTCACCGCCCGCCCCCGTTGCCGCCGCCTCCACCGTCGTGATCCTCATGGTCGTCGTGGTCGTCGTCGTGGGCGGCGTCGTCGTTGCCGTCTTCACGATGTATGTTGCGGCTGCTTTTGTTTCGTCGTTGCCATCAACCGGTGCGCTCGCGGCGATTGGGAAGCTGTTGCGCGGGGGTAGTCTTCCCAAACCAAACAGTCGCGTGAAATTCGCGTAGGTGAGAAACAGTCGCTGGATAGTTGGAGGGCAAAACTCGCTTGAACACGTTCCAGCCCAAGTTTCACCATCGAAGCACGAAACCACAATGAGGCAGTCAACATGGAGCGAGACAAGCATGTCATGCCGAGTCTGGAGGCTCCCTGGAGTCTCTGGGCGGCTTTGAGGGCTTCCTGGGGGCTTCTCAAAGCTTACAGGGGGCTCTTTGAGGCCGCTTGGGGGGCTGCCTAGAGTCAGCGGAATAGTTCGTCAGTGAGATTTTTGGGTAGGCGGGTTCGTTTGCATCGGTGGAGGCCGACATTCGAACGTCCGCGCTCGGTATCAAATGCAATGATGAAGCGCCGCGGGTTGCTGGAACGATGTCCCTCGTAAACGTTTGTTGCTGGAGCGCACCCTTGTTTGCGGCATGAGCCATTGGAACGCTTTTCCTTGTAACAACTGGGCGCTGGAACGACACCCCGTCTAGGGTTGTAAAGTTGTCAATCGGAGTGGGGAAGGGCAAGGGACGCGGCGGGGTAGGGGCTGCTTGCAGTGTGTTCGCTCCCCGCTATCAAATTGGCCCCGTTGCTGACACACCTTGCCTCATTGGTCGCAGCGCCGCGCGTGTGTGGGTGGGTGGATGCAGGCGAGAGGGCGTACGCGGGTGCATGCGCGTGTGCGTGCGTTGGGTGTTCGCGTGCGTGTGCGCACGCGATGAAGGCGGAGTCAGGATGAAGAACAGGAGATCAGTTAGTGGATTTTTTTGCTAGTGAGAATTTTGACTAGTTGAGTTCGCTTGCGTTGGTGGAGACCGAAGCTCAAACGCCCACGCTCGGTATCAAATGCAATGGTGAAGCGCCGCGGGTTACTGGAACGTTGTCCCTCGTAAAAGCGCACTCCGTGGGCTGCTGGAACGTTGTCCATCGTGAGAATTTGGTGCTGGAGCGCTCGCGCACGCGTCTGCGTGCGTGCGCGCGCGACGGGGATGGAGTCCAGAGGGAAACCGGGGGGAGATAGCCGATGATGAAAAGCGGGAGTACGGAGGAACTAAGACGTGTACCCCAAACCGCTCTAGACTCTGGATGCATCAAAATGCGCGTTGAATTTTCCCTAGCAGCACCATTCCACTGACTGTGCGGACATTTTGGGGCACCTTGGGGCTACCTTGGGGCCTCCTGGGGTTGTTTTGTGGCCGTCTCGGGGCCTGCCATCAGTTGTTCCCCGCTTTTGGGCATATCTTGGGGCGCTCATTTCGTGCTTCTGGGGGGTATTCGGAACCGTCTTCAGAAGCCAATCGGAACCAAAACCCATCTGGGGCCATTAGACCGTCTGGGGCCACCTGGGACCTGGGGCCGGCACGGAAACGGAAAGAGCGCTTCAGAAGCAGAAGCCGAAATTACTCACACCACCGTTCGTATTGGGAGCCTTGGCGTTGATAGCTCGTTACGTCACCCCTCGCTCTTGGGAGCCTTGGTGTTCAGAGATTGTTGCGTTGCCGCCCGTTCCTGAGCCTTGGCTGGGCCTTGGTGTCAGAAACTTGTTACGTCACCGCTCTCTGCTGGGAGCCTTGGTCTGATCAGCTTGTTTACGTCACCGTTCACTCTTGGGAGCCTTGGTATGAAGAGCTTTTTGCGTTACCGATCGCTCTTTATTTGGCGTCTCTGGGCCTTCTTGGGAGTCGTACTGGGGCCCTTTTGGATCCCTTTTGGGGACCTCTGGGGGGCCTCTTGGGGGCCTCTTGGGGCTTCTTGGGGGGCTCTTGGGGTCTCCTGGGAGCTTCTTGGGGCGAAAGGCTAGACTTTTCGGCTAGACTTTTCGGTTCGTGGTCCCCCTCTTGGGGCCGTCTTGGGGCCCTCTTGGGCCGTCTTGGGCGCCTCGTGGGCCGTCTTGGGGCCCTCTTGGGCAGTTTTGGGGGCCTCTTGGGAGCCTCTTGGGCCGTCTTGGGGCGGTCTTGGGGGCTTCTTGGACCTTCTTCAACGCCGTGAAAGCCGAAAAGCCGTGTATGCTAAACATGTACGTTTTCCGATTGGAAATCAATGACTTTGGCCTCCTGGTGGCCTCTTGGGACGCCTCTCGGGGGCCTCTTGGGGGGCTCTTGGGGGGCTCTTGGGGCCTCCTAGGAGCGTCTTGGGGCGAAAGGCTAGACTTTTCGGTTCGTGGTCCCCCTCTTGGGGCCGTCTTGGTGCCCTCTTGGGCCGTCTGGGGCCGTCTTGGGGCCCTCTTGGGCCGTTTTGGGGGCCTCTTGGGAGCCTCTTGGGTCGTCTTGGGGCGGTCTTGGGGGCCTCTTGGGCCGTCGTCGACGCCGTGAACGCCGAAAAGCCGTATATGCTAAACATGTACGTTTTCCGATTGGAAATCAATGACTTTGGCCTCTTGGGGCCCTCTTGGGGCGCCTTTTGGGCGCCTCTTGGGGCGTCTTGGAGGCCTCTTGGGACGTCTTGGGGCTGTCTTGGGCGGTCTTGGGCTCTTCTGGGACGGAAAAGGGGAGAACCCGAAAAACATGCAAAAACCACAGGGATAACACGAAAACGGACGGCCGTTACCAACCCTGCGCCCCCGCCTCGCCCCTCCCCTGGACCCCTCCCTTAAGGGCTTCGCCCCACACTAGAACGTCATCACTCGTACCTCGCTCTTTCCGTTACCAGTGGGGGCCACATTTGGACTGTCTTGGGCCTTCCCAGTCTTGATTTTCTCAGGCCATCTTGAGGCCCCTGGTGGAGCCTCTCCGGCCTTTTTGTGACCCTCTTTGAATTCTTTTGGGGCCTTTGGGGCTTTGTGTTGGGACTAATTTGGAGGCACCCTTGGCGGTCTCAGAATTCTTCGGAGAACGTGGCAATCCATCAAAATCTACGGGGGAATGAGTGATGTGGGCTTCTGGAAGCCCTCTGGGGGGCCCTCTCGGGGCCCTCCTGAAGCGTCTTGGGGGCCTCTCTGGTCAGTTTCGTGAGGCCATCACCGGGCGTCTTGAGGCCGTCTTGAGCCGTCTTGGGCTCTTGAGGCTGCCTTCCAGGCCCTCCTGGCCGAGCGGTGGCGTGTCTATGGGAACCCTGGGGAACCTCAGGGCGGCCAGGAATTTGAGCCCCCCTCCAGTTTTCCGCGGCGGCTCCAGGAGGCAGCGAAGTGGAGGCATGAACGGAGGGACAAGGTTCACACAGGCACAACAACACGCTAAGAACACAGGACAGCAGCCTGGCAGAAACGAGGAAGATCAGGAGAAGGAGGAAGAGGAGGCGGAACGGGAGAAGGAGGAGGCGCTGGATGATCAGGAGGAGGAGGAGGAGGAGGAGGAGGGGGATGATGAGGAGGAGGAGGAGGAGGAGGAGGAGGAGGAGGAGGAGGAGGAGGAGGAGGAGGAGGAGGAGGAGGAGGAGGACAAGTGCAATGCCTGTCTGGCGCGGCGGGTGTCCCTGCAGGACGTGTCGGCGTACTGCGGGTACTGGACGGGGGATTGCGGCACGCTGTTCGCCGCCGGGGGCATTCTGGAAGGCCACCGCTCGAGGAGAGGGGCGGGGGTGGGGGGGCGGACGGGGGGAGCGAGAAGGCGGGGGCGGGGGAGGGGGAGGATGCGGACCACGATGCGAAGGGACGTTGGGAATGTGGATGGGGCGGGGGATGGGGGAGGGGAAGGAGGCTGGGATGGCGGTGGTGGCAGTGGTGGCGTTATTTTTGTTGGTGGTGAGGATGATGACGATGCTGATTATGATGAAAAATGATGATGCTGATACTGATGCTGATGCGAATGCTGATGCTGCTGATGGTGATGATGCTGATACTTACGATGAAGATGATGTTGATGATGCTGATGATGATGATTATGATTGTGAGGACGATGGTGATGACGAGGATGGTGGTGGTGGTAATGATGATGATGATGATGATGATGATGATGATGATGATGATGATGATGATGATGATGATGATGACGATGATGATGATGATGATGATGATGACAGGGGTGCTTATGATGACGACGGCGGCGACGACGTCGACGATGATGATGCTGATGCTGTTGATTATGATGATGGTGATGCTGATGATGGGGATGATGTTGATGATGATGATGCTGATGATGATGGTGATGATGCTGCTGCTATTGCTGCTGCTGCTCATGATTGTGACGACGCTTGGGGTGATGTTGATGGTGATGGTGGTGATGATGATGCTCATGACGATGATGATGATGATGATGATGATGATGATGATGATGATGATGATGATGATGATGATGATGATGGTGGTGGTGGTGGTGGTGGTGGTGGTGGTAGTGGCGACGATAGTGATGGTGATGGTGATTGTGGTGGTGATGATGCTGCTGATGATGATGGTGACGATATTGATGACGCTGATCATTATGATGATGATGGAATCAATGATGATGTTGATGATGATGACGAAGTTAATGATGATGATGCTGTTGATGATGCTGATGATCATCATGATGGTGGTGGTGGTGATGATGATGATGGCGGTGTTGATGATGATGATGACGACGGCGACGACCATGAGGATGATATTATTAATGATGCTGCTGCTGCTGTTGCTGTTGACGATGTTTGTGATGGCGCCGAGGGTGACCATGATGGTGCCGATGATGACGATGCGGATGGTGATGGTGATGGTGATGATGATGATGATGGTGATGATATGATGATGATGAGGATGCTGATGTTGATGATGCTTGCGATGTTGATTGTTATAGTGATTGTGGTGGCACGGTGATGCTGGTGATGGTGATTCTGATGATGGTTATGGTGATAATGATGAGGACGATGGGGATGCTGACAATGGCATGATGATGGTTAGGATGATGTTGAGGATGATGATGATGATGATGATGATGATGATGATGATGATGATGATGATGATGATGATGGTGATTGTTATTTTGATGATGATGATGATGATGATGATGATGATGATGATGATGATGATGATGATGGTGATGATGATGATGATGATGGTGATGATGATGATGATGGTGATCATGATGGTGGTGGTGATGACGATGATGCTGATGAATGTGATGATGATGACGACTGCGACGACGATGCTGATGACGATGATGGTGATGATGATGTTGATGAGGATACTTCCGCTTTCACTGCTGCGTATGATGATCGTGATGGCACTGAGGGTCATGATAATGGTGATGATGGATGGTAGTGGTGGTGATGGTGATGTTGCTGTTGATGATGATGGCGGCGATGGTAATGGTGACGGCGATGGTGGTGGTTATGGTGATGGTGGTGGTGGTGGTGGTGATGATGATGACGATGATGACGATGATGATGATGATGATGATGATGATGATGATGATGATGATGATGATGATGATGATGATGATGATGATCCTCCTCCTCCTCCTCCTCCTCCTCCTCCTCCTCCCTCCTCCTCCTCCACCTCCTTCTCCTCCTCCTCTCTCCCTCCGGCCTCCTGCCTGTTACCCCTCCCCCATGTTATTTTCTTTCTCCTTCCCCCCCTCTTCCTTCCCCTCCTCCCCCTCCTCCCCCTCCTTCTCCTCCTCCTCCTCGTCTTCCTTCTCCTCCTTCTCCTCCTCCTCCTCCTCTTGCGGCGGTAAGCCCCCCCCACTTGCGAGGCAAGTGCGACTCCACCTGCAACGTCACCAACGCCACTGCCTGTCCACCGGAACGCCGGGGAAGTGCGCCTGGCCTCTCTCTCTCTTGGCGTACCTCCCTCCTCCGTGAGCACGAGGAGGAGCAGGATGATGGCGAGGATGAGGAGGAAGGTCTTCTACATCCACACGCCATGAGCATGTTTTGTTTTGTAGCTGGAATGCAGTGTGTGGAGCCTCTTGTCTACGTGCGTGTTTGTGTGGCGCCCCGCTCGTTTCCACTTGCCCGTGCTTCGCCGCTTGGTGTCGGCGCCCTTCTCGGCTTGCCATCCTGCTGTCTCTCTTCCGCTCCCCTCCCTCCCCTTCTGCTTGTCCGTGTTCTCGGTTCTCTCGCGCTTCTTCTTCTGCACCGTCGGTCTTTGCTGCTTAGTGGTCCCTCTCGGACTGTACCAAAGCTACCAGCTCTGTACGCGCTACCACATAAGGCGGTAAATTTGCCTAGTGCGCATCACCCCTTCTCATACGTTACCCAGTGACTGCCATCTCCAGCGCGTCGGAGGAAGTGTGCATGTGGAGCCATATGGAGCCGTATGTATGGAAGCATTTTGTGGGTCCCTATGCTTGGAGCACTCCGTGTGAATTTTTAGATGTGTGTAACCTTACGTGCGGATACCAATGTGTGGACCCCCATGCTGCCATCCTCTTTTCAACATGCAGCAACGCTGCTGAGGCTTCCGCAGCAGTCTACGACCCTGAACACGGGTGGCTGAACCCTGAGGCCACCAGCCCTGTGCGGCCCAACTGTGTGGAACCGACTGTGTGTGGAACGCTTATGTATGGAACCTTCTGTGTGGAACCCAATGTGTGTGTGGGTCTTCGACTCCACCGGCTGTATCATCTGCCCTGATGCCGCCAGCCTCCTGGTCGCCGCCGCCGCTGGCCGCCCAGCGCCGGCCCGGCCCCCCCCCCCTGGGCTCTTCTGAGCGGGCCCGGCTCCTCCTTGCCCCCCTCCTGCGCCAGCGCCTATGGTCCTCCTCCCTCCCCCTCTGCATGGTGGCTGACTTCGCTTAGCGTTTGCCCCGTTTTGCTCAGCTCGCCCTCTGCCTAGCCGCCGACAATTTATATATATATATATATATATATATATATATATATATATTCCTTTATCCTATAAAATTACATCGGGAAACCCCCCCATGAGATCCGGGGGGGGGGGGCCCGCGCCCACACACCCCCCTCCAGGGCCCCCCAAGGAGCCCCAAGACGCACCCAAAATGGTCCAAGAGGCAGCCCAGACGGCCCACGATCGGTCCCAGACGTTCCAAACAGTACCACAGACGGCACAAAAAGCCGCCAAGACGCTCAACGAACGCCCTCAAAGCGCTCCAAGCGGGACTTACATGGCCTCAAGAGGGCCCAAGAGATCTCATTACATCCCGGAACGCCCTCAAGAGGCCACCAACACGCCCCAAGCGGTCTCCAAAAGGCCTCCGAAGAGGGCCCCATGAGGCGAAAATCGTTGATTCTCATTGGTTTTTCCAATGTTTCTTGGCTTTCTCGCTTTTTCGGTTTTCCGACGCTCCAAGAAGGCCCGGGAGGCCCCCAAGAGAGCCCCAAGACGGCCCAAGCGGCCCCCAAGGAAGCCCCATGACGGCCCAAGAGGGCCCCAAGACGGCCCAGGAGGCCCCCAAGGGTCCCCCAAGACGGCCGAAGAGCCGCCCACGCCGGCCCAAGAGGCCCCCAAGACGGCCGATCCGAATTGACTTTTCGGGCCCTCGGCCCCAAGAAGCCCCCAGGATGTCCCAGGAGGCCCCCAGGAGGCCCCCAAGAGGCCCCCGGAGGCCCCCAAGAGTTCAGTGGGGGAGAGTGTGCACCCGGACACAACACGCAGAATATTCCGAAAGACCCATCTGGCGTTCCTCCTCCTCCCAATTCCTCCGTGAACATTTGGGCTCCAGCGGTCTCACACATGTCCACGGCAGACATGCTTCGATGTACTGTGTGCGAACAGGATTGGCCCAAGTCTGACTTCAGCACGGAACACAGACGGCGGTCCACTAGAAAGTGCGTCCGTTGCGCGGCCAACGCCAACCCTGCCAGCCCCCAGCCTACTTTACTCTGCGCAGGCTGTGGGGACGATTTGCCCCGAGACAGCTTCAGTAGCAGACAACGGCGGAGACAGACGAAGAAATGTATCCAGTGTGTCGCCGCTGCCACGGACGCTCAGACGCCTCGGTCATCCCACGCCTTCACGTGCGTAAGCTGCGGAAAGGCCAAACCGACCGACGCTTTCGCCGTACGAGGCGCGGTCGCCTCTGACCCCGTCTGCGCCATTTGCATTGCCAGAGGCCGTCAGACCGCAGCCTGCGCTCAATGCGGCTTGGTCCTCCCTCATGACGACTTCGGAACCGGTCACCGCCACTTATTACTCGGAGTGTGCCGCGCTTGCACAATGCCCGGCCGACCCTCCAGCACAGTGCAAACTCTGTCTTTGGGCCGCCAGGACCACCAATGCTCGCACTGCGGCGCATTCCTGTTCCAACGCGAGATGAGCGGCTTCTGTTGCGGTCATGGGAAATACGTCGTCGACTTCAACAGCTACTACCCCCAGCCCGATTCCTCCTTGCTCAAGCTGTTCCAACGGACGTGGCCAGTTACCGACACGCACGGCCGGCTCGTGCACGACGACACCACCAACGCACCAAAGCTGACGGGTTTCACTGCCGATTCTCGACGTTGCATCAGCTTGCTGAGCCTCGCCGCCCACGAAGTCCAGAGCGCCACTCCTGAACGAGAGGTCCGATTTGGAAGCGTCTTGAGACCATCCTTCATTCGCATCCACGGCACCATGTACAGGAAAGTGTACTCGGCTGCCGACTCTGGGCCGGTCCGGTACCTCGTGGTGGACGACCGCGAACGCCGCACTTGCGCACGAGAGCACGGCCTCGACCTGTCCATCGTCTCCCAGCTGGAGAAGCTCATCATACCGCACAATCCGCACATGCAGCACGTTCAGCACCTCAATTCCGTGTGGCCCCGTGCCCCACAGGCTTCCGTCACCCTCCGCTGGGACGAAGGCATCCAAGAAGTGGCCGCAGTAGTGCAGCAACGCCCCGACGCCATCGCCGAACCTAGGGCAGTGTGCTTCCGTTTGACGCCAGGCTCCCGCCCACAATACCTTTCACCCTTGCATTGCCTTTACGAGCCTCTGAGTTACCCGCTGTGGTTCCCATGCGGCGGCCGCGGGTGGAGCACCGACGCCGTGTCCACATCCGGCAACCACGTGACGCAGATGTGGTGGTACCGCCAGCACCTCCTCCGCCAGCCCCACATGCACGCGTGCGGGCGTCTGTTGAACGACTGGCTCATCAACATGTACTGCCGGATGGAGGACGAAAGGCTGTCGCTGGTCAGGAGAGAGCAAAGCACTGCCCCTGGCTCCCCGCGCCATCTCAAGCGGCTCCGAGTGGACGCATTGGAACTGGCGCGCCGGAAAGGCCCCCCAACTTATTTCATCACCCTTACGTGCAACCCCCACTGGCCAGAGATCAACACTCGCCTGTCTCGCACCCTCATGCTACCCTCCCTTCTCCATTGCACTCTCCCTTCCTCCCTCTCTGCTTTCCTGTGTCATCGTCACCTTCTGCCCGCTAGTCAGCCTCCTCCCTCCCCCAATCTTGCGCGCCCCTCCTCTGCTCACCTTCCCTTTTCACATCCCCCTTCATGCGCTTATGCCCGACGGGGCGGCGAACGCATCCACTGGCAACATGTTGTCACCGAGCGAACAGAAGTCTATCAGAACGGCTTCCTCGGACGGCATACTTGGCATTGTTTGTGACAAAGATGTTTTGACGTGCTGGCTCCTCATGCTTCCATGTCGTAACTGCATGAGCTACGCTACGTACCGCGATTTGTCGCATTTCCCCATATGCTTTTTGGATGGAAGTTGCACTTACAAGAAACATGATCGTGACGTTTTCGTGAATGCAATCCACAAGCGCAAAACAGGTGGTCGGGACATGCACCACTGGGTTCCTGTCAAAGAGCTGCCAGACGCGTTCAGCCTTGGAAACCTCACAGACAAGCTTGCCCCTCAGGTGAAACACGACTTCAGCAAACGCAAACTCAACCATTTCCATCCCGTTCTGGACACTACGAGCGCCACAAAACATTACCTCATGATGTCCAACAAAACACATCCATTGATCAATTTGGAATTTTTTGTCATCATGTCAACTGTTTACTTAAAGGAAGGCCACTACTTGATCACCGCGCTGGCCGTGTATAGTTGGCTCGCTCATCAAAAGACGCCCCGGGCGCAGCTCCTGGGCGACGCCGCCGCCCGGGCGACACTCCAGAAACGACTTTGTTGCCGGCTCTAATTTCGGTGGATTCCTACGACGTCCGTCGCTTCTACGACGCACTGGTTATTTGCGAAGACCTGTATGGCCGACAACCAGATGCAGGATACCACATCCCGAGCTTCACAGAAGGCGACGACAACTCCAATCTCGTGCCGAACGGATCCGGGACAAAGCCTCACAGAGTTGCTGTGCGCATGCACCACATTGCCGCTACCCTACGAGAACACAGTGCCCAGTTGAGCAAGAGCCCCGCCCTGTTGGTTCAAATGACAAAAACACTCCTTGCCACGCACGCGCATTGCCTGCCTTATCAGGCACAGCTGGTATACATGCGTTTCTTCCGGAGCTCATTCGGAGCGCGCAATTGGGAGCAATCGATCATATCAGACATTTCTTTCATTGAACATGTTGGCGATGGAGATTTTCACTTCTTGCGGAAGTTGTGCCCAGAAACTTTCTCGATTTACAACTCTTTGGCAGGCAGGGGGCCCGTGGGGGCTGCCGGGGCCACCGTTGCCACGAGAGTTTCTAAGGGCGAACGGGACCTCGGCCGCGCGTTGATCCAACTGTTGACTTCCAGGCAGGGAAGCATGTCGTTGCATTCAAAAGTGAACGAGCTCCTCGGCTTCAGCGCCATGGACTTTCACGAATCGCAATACACAGTTTGCGAAGTGCGCGCCTTCGTTTATGGCACACGCCTGAGGAAAACAGAGACGACGGACTCCTGGCTAGAGAAGATGCGCGCGGCCCACCGGCGCTGGCATCGGGAGGTCCTCCTGCCGCGCGCCTGGGGCGCGGTGGCAACCGGAGACCGCAAGCGGACCCGTGAGTAGAGCCACTCCTCCAACGCACCGACACCAACAAAAAACCACCCCTTTTTTATCTCCTCGCCCCCTGTGGAACCATGAGTTTCTGGGATCCATGAATTTCCCCGCCACTCCTTCACTCGTGTTTTCGAACACCCCATGGGCCAAGATTTAAGGCGAAGCGGAGCGAGCCTTCAAAATCTTGTATATATATATATATATATATATCTGTATATATATATATATATATATATATATATCTGTGTGTGTGTGTGTGTGTGTGTGTGTGTGTGTGTGTGTGTGTGTGTGTGTGTGTGTGTGTGTGTGTGTGTGGAACCCCATGTGTGGCCTGTGTGGTTTGACCGCTAGGTATGGGTGGATTCCAGTGTGTGTGTGTATATGTGTGTGCGAGCGGGTGTCGCCCGCCTGGCTTGGCTCGATCTCCTGGGATGACCCTCAGGGTGGTCGCCTCGCTCCGGCTCCTGCGGCCTCGCGGGCGCGGATCTGCCATCTGCCCGCCCGCTTCTCCGCTCGTCGCTCAATACTGCTGCAGCGCTCGGCCGCCTCGGCCGTTGGCTTGGCCTCAGCAGCGATCGCCTCGCCGCAGCCCCTGCGCCCCCGCCCGTCGCCCCGCCCCTGCTCCGCCCTTCGGCCCAGTCCGCCAGTCCTCGGTGCCCCATGGCCGCCCCCCCCCCCGCCCCGCCGCCCTCGGGCGCCGCTCGCCGGCGCGGCCGCCTGCTGCCTGGCCGCCTGGCCGCCGCCTCGCCCGCCGAACTCTGGCATGGCTTGGCCCTTGTTCTCTGCCGCCAGCTCGGCGGTTCCCGCGGCCCCGCTGCCGTGGATCGTCGGCCCGCCGCTGCCCCTGCCCGCTCCCCGCTCCCCGCTCCCCACTCCCCGCTGCCCGGCGCCCGCGCTGCGGCCGCCGCCCCGCCCCGCCTGCCGCCGCCCCAGCGCCTGCCCGCTGCCCGCCGCCCCGGCGCCCCTGCGCCGCTCCAGGCCGCCGCCCCGTGAGAGGCCAGCCGGCTCTTCTTGTCTTCCTTCTCTTGCTTGCCCGCTCTCGCCGACTGGGTGCACGCGCGGTTCTCCGCGCGTGCGCTGGACGCCGAGGCGGTGGGCCTGGCCGCGACGACCGAATATGTATGTATGTATGTATGCATGCATGTATGTATGTATGTATGTATGTATGTATGTATGTATGTATGTATGTACATATATGCATGCATGTATGTATGTATGTATGTATGTATGCATGCATGCATGCATGCATGCATGCATGCATGCACGTATGTATGTATGTATGCATGCATGCATGCATGCATGTATGTATGTATGTATGTATGTATGTATGTATGTATCTATGTATGTATATATGTATGTATGTATGTATGTATGTATGTATGTATGTATGTATGTATGTATGTATGTATGTATGTATGTATACATATAAAAGTATATTTGTATATGTGCATATAGGTATGTGTGTGTATGTGTGTGTGTGTGTGTGTGAGTCTGTGAGTGTGTGCTTGTGTGAGTGTGTGCTTGTGTGCGAAGCCCTGCGTGTGTGCTTCCCGACTGCTGCGGGCTCGGCCGCCGGCCGCGCGCCCAACGGTGTGGCGAGCCGCCCACCCGCAACGCCGGACTTTGTGTGTGTGTGTGTGTGTGTGTATGTGTGTGTGTGTGGGTGTGTCGAACTCGCGGCCCATCGCGCAGTTGCTGGCTATGTTCATCGCAGTCGACCTCCCTGGGCTGGTCCAGTGTGGCCTGGTCGGCACCCCAGCACCCTTTTCGCCTCTGGGCGGGCCGTCCTCCCCCCTCCGTCCCGCCGTCGTGCGTCGCTCCTCTGCTCTTCCCTTGCCCGCGCCTCGGGCTGTCGCACGGTGGGTCGTCCGCCTTCCTCGGTTGTCGGGTCGTTGCTGTCGCCCTCCTCTCCTGCTTCTCGCGGTCTCGTGTTCGCCCTGGTCCCCGGGCGTCGCTTCCTCTGCCTTCCTGCTGTGCTCCCCTGGGCCGTCCACTTGGGCGCTGGCGCCGGCCGCACGTCACTCGCCTCCTGCCAGGGCCTCTTTGGCCCTCCCAAGCTGTGTCCGAGTAGATGGTGTCAGAGGATCGCGCCGCATCGCCGATGCCCCGACGATGCGGCTCGATGTGGAGTACGATTTTGTCCACGCCGACTGCGCCGATGCGTCGCCGACGTCGGCGATGCATCCCCGATGCATCGGCGATGTGGCGCGATCCTCCGACCACATCTACTCCGATTCCATGTATGAGGCCTCTGGCCTCGTGCTGCCCCTGAGCGGGCTGCCAGCGTCGCTTCATGTGCTTGACTGGCGTGCGTCTCTATTTCTGCACGCGCAGCCATCCTTACGCCCTCGATGAGTTGGATCACTCGGCCGCGGAGTAAAAGTGTGCGTCGAACTCTCTGTGTGGAAACTTATGTGAGGAACCCGATATGTGGAGCCCTGTGTGCGGAATGATGCGGGGGCCCATATATGTGTGTAACCTTCTGTGTGGGAGCCAATGTTCGTTGAGTCCTATACTGAAGGACAAACCTCGTCCCCGCGCAACGTGAGATGCAGATAGAGCGGGGATACCCTCGGCCTCACCCGCGCCCCCCCTGCACGGCCCGCGGCGGGGTGCTGCACCTGTGGCAGCCCCAGCCTTCGCCCGCGCGTGGCAGGCGTCGCAGTGTGCCGCCGGCAGGGTGCTCCACATCTCGGCAACCGGCGAGGGTGCTTCCAGCGGCAGCGCGCCCACGGCGGCAGCCGCAGCTCCAGCAGGGGCTCCGCCGTCAGCCCAGGCGTCAGCAAGGTCCTCGCCGGACGCTGCCGAGTCGACGCGAGGCTCTCCGTCAGCAGGGCGAGTGTCGCCGACGCCGTCGGCACCGGCAGCCCAACGGCCCGGCGGCCCTGCGGCACGGTCTGCGGAAGCCGCGCAGCGGGGCGCCCTCGGCGCCTGTGGCGCCGCGCCGCCGTGGCGGTCGCAGCTCCAGCGATCGCGACGCTCGGGGCGGCCTCTGCGGCCCTTGGCGTCCGCGGTCCGCGCTGGGGGCGAAGCCGCAGCAGCAGAAGCCGCTGCAGCCACCTGCCGAGCGCGTGGCGGCGGCGGCCATCCGCCGCGGCGCCCAAGCCAGCAGCGCCGCTCGGAAGGCCGCCTCGACGAGGCAGCCGAGATCCGAGACGGCCAGCGACGTTTGCGCCCGCTGCGCGGCGCAGCCGCGGGCCGCGCGCCCTGGCGGGCAAGTTTGAGCCGACGGGAGCGGGTGCTAGCACCCCACGAGGTCCTCGAGGGGGTACGTGGGGCTTGAACCAAAATGGTAACCGAGTTGTATTGAAGCCTATGCTCAAGGCCTCCCTAATGAGGCCAGGGTAGATGGGTCGGAGGATCGCGCCGCAGAGTCGAGGAATCGGCCAATGTGGCGCGATCAGGAGTCAGATTTTCTCTGTCCTGACGTCGCCGGTGCATCGGGGACGCGGTGCAATCTTCCGACCCAATCCCCTCTTTCGCCTCTCGTGCCGTGCATTAATCTGCTGTGCAGTGGCCCCAAGCTGCCCGACCGACCCGCGCGTGCGCCGGTTCCGCGACAAAAAGTGTGGAACCTTCACGTGTGTGGAACGACAAGCGTGTGCAGCGGAGCACCACGGGGTTCCAAAGGCCACACGGTGTGTGAAGCTCCATGATCCGATGGCCACGGCATGTGGAAGCCCATGGGTTTCCCAAGGCTTACCTCAAGCGTAGGGAAGAGCCCCTCAATGCAAGCATTTTTTGGTTGGAGCACACCCCTGAGTGCACGCACTGTTTGAGGAATCTGGGCCCATTGTCGAATGAGGGATGAGCTTTGGACGGCTGAAGCGCTGACTTCTTTCTTGTTCCATGAGCCACGGGGCACTTGGTTTTTGCGGATTGTGATTCTCTTGAGGTGGCTCTGGAGAAGACCGACAGCCTTGTCTCTCGTGTCGCCTGGCTCTGGCTTCCGTGGCGGGGAGACCAAGGAGTGCTCTATAGATGCAGGTTGAGACTTTCGAGAAAGAGAGGCCAGGGGAGGACAACGAGTCGGGCTGCTACATGGCCCCGGACTCGCAATCCGCCACCATATGCGCGGCTGCATCGTGCGATTATTGGGACAATGACGCCCGTACGGGCCAGTGCGACACCCATTGCAGCTTTTGCACGCTCTCGCAGGACGCCCCACCTTAAGAGGAATCGGGGAGCAGAATGACGAGGGTTAGGATGCTGAGGAGGCGGAAGAGCTAGAGGATGCGCGAAGCGTCACAGTGGCATGGCAGGTCATTGTCGTACAAGCTGCATGGGTTCCTTAGTGCGAGACGATTTGCCTATGGGGTTCGTCCACAGCATGCACGGGTAAAAACGATGATCGGATTTCGTTGGATACCCTCGCATTCTTTGCCTTTCCGCCCCTTTCCCCCCCTGTTGGGGTGGGACATTTTACAGGCGTTGACCATCAAGTGTGATCGTGAATTATCGTGCGTGCGGTGCGGAACTCGTGCAGAAATTGTTCCATGCAGGTATACGCCATAGCCGAACCACGTTGTGATTTTCGTTTGACGAACCGTTTTCTATCATCTTGCCATTTGATTGACAAGTTGGATCGAGATTAGCTTGGGATCGCCTTGAGTGTCGATGCGCAGTTTGCGAATACAGCCTAATTGGTTTATTTCGATTTGCCCGTCGTGCTGTTGTCATGATGTGTGGAAGTGGCACTGTGTACCCGTTCTTGGTGAATCTGTTGCTTTCTACAGTAGACTGTTCTCGCACGGTCATTGTGGAGAACATCCAGAAGTTGTATGTCAGTGAAATTACGAATAGCACTCGTACAGATGATCGGCTTGAAGTTCTTGGCGCGGATCCTTCATGGCTTTTCCAATGCACCTCGCAAGGCATGGACCCCTATGCCAAAGGGTTTGAGATTCCATGCTGCCCTGGTTTGGAGAAGAAGGTTGGCGACTGGGACGGCTCGGGCCGATGGTATTACTTGTGCCGCGCGAGCCCGCCACCCCCAGTTCCTGCTCACGAATGCAAGGTGGGCGTGGCTTTCTCGCTGGACTTTCAGACGAGTCGACTTGATACGACTGTTGCCGCACGCAAGCTCAAGCACCTGGGAGTAAAGTGCGTACGCCTTTACCACTATCAATCCGACTACTTGCAGACCCTCTGGAATGCTGGGATTCGCGATGTCATGGTCACCGTCCCCACTCATGAGCTGTATGCCCTGTCACGCTTCGCGTTCGGGCCTAATTCAAAGGCACTGGACGTTGCGCGAGTCCTGAAGCCGTTTTATATGAAAGGTATGCGTTTCCGTCTGAATGTCGGTAACGAGCCGCTTGCTTCTTGGGAGGGAGGGCTGAAAAACGCGCCGCTATTGTTGCCCTGCTTGGAGAATATGCGGAATGCCTTACAGCACGAGGGCCTAAGCGACATTACATGCACGGTTGCATTCTTTAATGGAATTGTGGGGACAAGCTATCCGCCGGAAAATGGAGCGTTCGCGTCACAGTACGTCGAGACGATCCGTGCTGTTGTCGATTTTCTTTATCGGACTGGTGGTGAGCTTGTGGTTCACATCTACCCTTGGTTCGCCCGCAAAGGTGCACCAGAGCATGTACCTTTAGATCTGGCATTGGGAAACATAGAGAACACCATCAATGGCCGACGCTACAACGGGCTCCTTCATCAGCAGATCGCTGCAGTACGGGCTGCCCTGAATCGTCTGGACGCGAAGTATGCAACTTTGCCTCTCTCCATTGGTGAGTCCGGCTGGCCGTCCAAGGGACATCATGAGGCCACTCTGGCGCACGCACGCGAGTACACTCAGAACGTGATCGATGCTTCGCACCGCCGGGATCTGCCCCTGGACCGGCACCTCGGCACCATATTCCTTTTCGAGGCATTCGATGAGCAGCGGAAGGCCGAGGCAGCACATGGAGGTAGCAGTCGGGAGACAGAGAATCATTTCGGAATCATGTACGAAAGTGGCGAGCTCAAGTATGATGTGAGCTTTGGCCCTGTTGCGTAAGCAGCGACGGCAATGTTGGATTTGATCATTGTGTCAGCATGCGCAGGCCCTGTCCGACCTCTGGGCGTAGCAGTAGCCGAGCCTTCGAACCCGAGTGACCTGCTCGTGCTTTGCACTCGCGGCTCAGGGACGCCGCTTGTTGCTTCTCGGCTTAGTTTAGATGCGCGTCCTGTCGCTCCGAAGTAAAAGATGTGCCTACACATGTCTCCATAGCGTAGGCACATAATTGGTACCTCAAGCAGGCGATCGAATACCCCTGCCAATCATGATAATCAAAGAGGACATCATACTCGATATCACCACCACGTGTCACTTTCAGATCATGTGTGGGCTTACCCATCTGTATATACATATATATATACACACATATATACATCAGTTCCCCTACCAGAGCTTGCCTTTGTAGGGGTCCTAGCGGATTCATACGTTTAGGTGAGGTTTGTCACCGATTTCCGCGGCCCAGGTGCCCAGGTGCCTTATAGACTTTTAGCCCTATAGCCTTGTAGCCCTAGAGCCCTATAGCCCTATGGCCAGATAGCCCTATAGCTCTTTAGCCCAATAGTTCTATAGCCCTATAGCCCTATAGCCCTATAGCCCTATAGCCCTATAGCCCTGTAGCCCTTAGCCCTATAGCTCTATTTTCGTATCGCCCTAGAGCCCTAAAGTTCTATAGCCCTATGGCCCTATAGCCCTATAGCTCTATAGCCCTATAGCCCTATAGCCCTATAGTTCCATAGCTCTATAGCCCCCTAGCCCTATTGCCCTATAACCCTATAGCCTTATAGCCCTATAGCCCCATAGCCCTATGGTCCTATAGCCCTATAGCCCAATAACCCAATAGCCCTATAGCTCTATAGCCCCATAGCCCTATGGTCCTATAGCCCTATAGCCCAATAACCCAATAGCCCTATAGCACTATAGCCCTATATCCCTATAGCCAGCCCTATAGCACTATAGCCCTATAACACTATAGCTCTGTATGCCTGTAGCCTCATAGCCCTATAGCCCCATAGCCACATATCCGTATAGACCTATAGACCTATGGTCCTATAGCCCTATAGTCCCATAGCCCTATCGACTCATAGCCCTATGGCCCTCATAGCCCTATACCCCATAGCCCCAGAGCCCCATAGCCCTATAGCCCTACAGCCCGAGAGCCCTATGGCTCTATTGCCCTACCCTATAGCCCTATAGCCCTATAGACCTATAGCCCTATGGCCCAATAGCCCTATAGTTCCATAGCCCTATAGCCCCATAGCCCCATCGCCCTATAGCCCGATAGCCCTATAGCCCTATAACCCTATAGCCCTGAAAAGACTTTGATTGTTTTTTTTCTCTCTCCGGTATAGTATGTACGTGTGTAAGTAGACAGGTCGATATGTACGTGCCCACGTACGTATGCATGCATGCATGCATGCATGCATGTATGTATGTATGTATATATATATGTGTATATATATATATGTGTAGATCGTATGTATGGTTGTGTGAACTTACGTATGTATGAATGCATGCCTGCATGCACACATATAGGTACACTTGCCTGTAGTTATGCATCATGCATGTGTATATGGTGTATGCAGGTATGTACACATGTATTATTCATGTACGACTATATGTATACATGCATACACGCATGTATGCATGTATCTATGCATGTATGCATGCTTGTATAGATGCATGTATGTATGTATGTACGTATGTATGAATGTACGTATGCAAATATATTTATATATGTATGTATGGACCTGTGCATGCATGGATGTATGTATGAATGCCTGCAGGCATGCATGCATGTATGTATGTATGTATGCATGTTTATAGGCGTGTTTGTTTGTTCGTATGCATGTATATATATGTATAAGTGTATGTATGCACGCGTGCTTGTATGTACTTACGTATGCATGCATGCATGCATTCATGCATGTATGTATGCATGTATGTATGTATGCATGTGTGTTTATCTATGTATGCATATCTGTCTGTTTGTCTGTCTGTCTGTCTGTCTGTCTGTCTGTCTGTCTGTCTGTCTGTCTGTCTGTCTGTCTGTCTATCTGTGTTTGTCTGTATCCTGTGTGGATGAATGGATGGATGGATGGATGGATGTATGCATGTATGTATGTATTAGTGCATGCATGCATGCAGGCATGGATGTATGCATGCATGCATGCATATACACATAGACATATATCTATACATTCAAGGTGGTACCTGCTCGCTCAGCTGCGCCTTGAACATCTTGATCGCATGGCGCCAGAGAGGCCCGCCGCGACCGGTACACGTCAGCACCGCATGCGCTTCGCTATAGGGTCCATGACCACGCGAGGCTGGCAGGACCCATGGGCTCGACCAAGTCAGAGGGCTCAAAGGCCTCTCCGCAGCCATTGGGGCTCAGAGGCTCGGAGCCTTACTTGGGAAGAGGGGTAATTCAGCCAACACGGCTCATGGGGACCATGAGGTTCCGAGGGCCCGCAGGCGTGATTGGGTGCATAGGGTTCCTCGGGCTGATGAGCTCATTAGGGTTCTAGGGCTCGTAGGGGCATTGACCAAACAGAAGTCATGGGCTCTTGGGCCCCATAGCGGGCGGGCTCATCGAGCTTATCAGGCTCATTGGGCTCATATGGGGTCATTGTGCCCACCGTGCTCATGAGGCTCGTGGGGTTCATAACGGGTCGTGGGGGGCATAGGGCTTATATGGCCCATGGGGCTTATACGGTTCACATGGCTGAGAAGGATCCTTGGGGCCATGCGGCTCGTGGGGCCTGTGGGGCGGGTCGAGCTCAGAGGGCTCGCAGGGCTTGTGAGGCTCATAAGCGACAGGGCTTACAGGGCTCACTGGGCTCGTAGGGCTCATGAGGCTCGTCGGGCTCACGTGGCTCAGAGGGCTCACAGGGTCATAGGCTCACAGGCGACATAGGGCTCAGAGGGCCCATAAAGCTCACAGGGCTCATAGGGCCCATCGGGGTCATGCGGCTCGCACGGCTCATAGGGGCCATAGGGCTTATGGGGTTCGGAGGAGCTTTAGGGCGCATAGGGCTGATAGGGGCCATAGGGCTCATGGGGCTCATAGGGGCCATCGGGGCTCATAGGGGCCATAGGGCCTGCAGCACTGAGGACGTCGATGTACTCGCAGGGCTCGACGGGCCCGTCGAGCTCAGGTGGGCTCATGGCACCGCGTTCACTGGACGCTTGGGAGCAATGTCGCTAGTGAGCTCCTAGGGGAGGTGTCTGGACGGCCTCTTGGAGGGCACGCAGGACTCATGGGGCTCAGAGGGTTTGGATGTTGTTAACGTTGGATCCAGCTATAGTAGGATTCTATTAGAGGTGGACCGAGCCGGAGTAGGATTCAATTAGAGCTAGATCCAGCCATAGTAGAAGTTGAATCGAGCCCGACCAGGATGCTCTTAACATTCGGTCCACCTATCATCGGGACTCTATTAGATCTGGATCGAGCCTAGTTGGATTCAATCAGAGATGGATCCAGCTTTAGTAGGGTTCTAATTCATGAGGGTCGAGCTCGATAAGGAGGCACTTCAAGTTGGATCCGCAAACAGTGGTGTTTTACCATACCTGGGTCGAGCCTTAATAGTTTTCGATTCAAGGGGGAGGGGGTGGGCGAGTCGAACCGAAAACGGGACATATTACAACCGATTGGGGCGGATTCCAAGCATTCGGTACCAATTCAGACCAATTCGTACCAATTCCGATCGCTCTGGAAGATCCTTGTCGTTTGATTCCTTACAGGTGTTTTTGGGATTCCGTGAACATCCTTCGAGATTCTTTGGTATTCCCCAAGATTTCTGAGGGATTCCTTAGGGATTGCTCGGGGATTCCTCTGGCTTCACTCAGGGATCCATTACGGATTCCTGAGGATTCTTTAAGAATCCTCAGGGATTCTTCCAAGATGCTGGAGGATTCCCCAGGGGTTATTCTGGATTCTTTAGGGTTCCTCAGAGTTTTTTGTTTAGGGATGCCGTAAGGATTCTGCAGAAATCTCCAGGGATTCCTCAGGCCCCAGGGTTGCGCAGGACTCCTCAGGGGTATTTCCGAAATTCCTCAGGACTCCTGACAGATTCTTAGGTTTTGTTGTTGTTGAGGTTGTTGTTGTTGCTGCTGCTGTTGCTGCTGCTGCTGCTGCTGTTGTTGTTGTTGTTGTTGTTGTTGTTGTTGTTGTTGTTGTGGTTGTTGTTGTTGTTGTTGTTGTTGTTGTTGTTGTTGGTGTTGTTGTTGTTGTTGAGATGGTTGTTGCTGTTGTTGCTGTTTTTGTTGTTGTTTGATTTGCTAAGATTTTTCCGTGGATTCCTCAGTATGCTTTGGGTCTTCCGTCGGATTCTGCAGGATTCCTAATAGGTCCTTGTGATTATCCAGAGATCCCTCGTGGTTCTTCAGAGGTTCCTCGTGCTTCTTTTGCAAATCCTTATGTTTCGTCAGGGATTCCTGGTTGTTCTTCAGAGATTCTCAGTATTCATCAGCAAACCAATTGGGTTCGTCATTGATTCCTACGAATTTTCAATAGTTGTCAGCAGGTTTTTCAGGATGCTTCAGGATTATTTTTGCAGATGCCTCGTGATTCTTTGCGGATTCCTCCAGGTTCTTCATGATTCTTCATCGTGTCCTTGTGATTCTTCAGAAGTTTCGCAGGATTCCTCCCATGCTTCTTCAGGGATTGTATGCGGTTCTTCAGAGAGAACTCGGGGTTCCTGTGAGATTCGTGAGGATTCGTTTCGGTCTTTGTTTAAGTATTCTTCGGGGATTCCTCATATATGCCGTAGAGATTTCTCGGGATTCCTCAGAGTTTCAGAGGCTCCTTCCAGGATGCCTCGTGGTTCTTCAGAGAGTCCTTTTCTGGTTTTTCAGACATTTCTTGGGGGTCCTCATGATTGTTCGGAGATTCCTCGTGGTTCTTCCGAGATTCCTCCCAGGATTCTTCTGGCATTCCTTTCATGATTCTTGTAGGATTCCTGCGAGACTATTTTCACGATCCGTCGAAGATCCTTCCAAGATTCTTTAGAGTTCCTTGCAGGATTCCTGGGAGATCTTGGTAGGATTCGTCGGAGATCCGTACAGGATCCCTAGGAGATCTCAACCGGATTCCGATCATACATGTTTAGGTTCTTTGTGAGATCCTTCCAGGATCTTGCGAGATCTTTCCAAGACTCCCGACAGATCCTTACATGAGCCCTGAAAGAAAGATCCATACATGACTTCTGGGGGATCCTTACAGGATCCTTGGGCAATCCTTGCAGGATTCTTGGGAGATCCCTACAGGATCCCAGGGAGATTTGCTCAGGATCCCAGGGAGATCCTTCCAGGATCCTTGAGCGATCCTTCCAGGATCCTTGAACTATCTTTACAGAACCCTTGAAAGATCAGTGCAGGATCCCCAAGACGCCCGTACATAATCCCCGAGGGGTTCCTTTCAGGATTCTCGAGAGATCTTTCTAGTTTCCTGAGAGGACCTTACACGTTTCTTGGGAGAGCGCTCCAGGGTGTCCGAGAGATCCTTGCAGGATTCCCGAGGGATCCTTACAGAATTCCAGGGAGATCCTTCCAACATTCCTGGGGGATCCCATCTGCTTCCGTGAACCGTCCGGGCAGCCTCCGACATGCCCACTCGCTCCTCGCAGGCTCTTTTCAGACCCTTGCTCTCGAAAAGCTCTGGAGAGGCGCCTGCTGGGCTCCTCAGAGGCGTATGCGAAGCTCCTGAGAGGCGCTTGCACGGCTATGGAAACGCTGCACGGCTCGTAGAACGGCTCCGGAGAGACGGCTGTCCAGTTCTAATACGCCAGTCGTAAAGCTCCAGTAAAATTGGCCATCGCTGCCCGGTGTCAAAACAACACACTTCACACATCTCACACAGTAAAGTAGAACAACTTCCAACCGTGGCACTCATGTTGTTTCCCAGAATGAATGTATTCTCTGTGGGCGTGCACTTGTTTCTGAATCATCTTGAGATGCCCTACGACTAGAAACCTAATGTCGGCTAAGGATGGCTGGCATGTTGGTCTGTAAGTGGACCAGTTGGTTTACAGGCCCGTTGGGAAATGGCCCAGTTGATTGTAATTGGTACCGGTCGATTGGGATTGGTCCCGCATGCAAACCGAATGCCCCGCCCTTGCACAGGGCCCCCTTCTCTTTGGTTCCGCCGTTCGACCCCCCCACTGGAGGACCCCCTCCCAGGTTACGGAAGCCGACATCCAGCCCCCCCCGGGTCTCTGGGCGCGCTACATGTTTTTCCCAACCATCATGTGGTTCTGGATCTTCGTTTTGAAGAGCCGGTCTCCGCGTTCCCTCCTTCGTCCTCGCCCCCCCTTCCACTGCCCGCATGCGTCATGCACGCCTATTTCGGCACACTCCTCACATTTCGTGGCCCCATAGGGAGCTCCACCGAAGGCCCCAGTGCCAGCGCCTGCATGCGTCACGCACACGGATTTCGGCACACCCCTCACACGTTTCGTGGCCCATGGAGCTCCACCGTGTTTCTTCGACAATGCCCCGCGTGTGGTATTCGCTTGCTGCACATGTGCCTTGTCTAGCCGCCGAACCCCATCCTGCGTGTTTGGCCATCATTTTGTCCACACCGCTAGCAATCGTATTCACCTCATCTGCATCGGATGCTGCACCTGCAGCAGCAGCGGCCTTGGAGGGATGATGGCAGTTGCGTGCTTGTACGGGATGAAATCGTGATTCACCCAGGAACCGCAGTGCTACATGTGCGACACCTTCTTGCCGACGGACTGCCCGTATCCTAACTCGGATATCGGTACATATTGCTACTCCACCTGCGGCATTGACAACTGCGTGAAGACATCGACGTCGACGAACACCTCGTTGGTGCCCGATATGGGGATGTGCACATGGGAGGAGGGGGAGGAGGAGGAGGAGGAGGAGGAGGAGGAGGAGGAGGAGGAGAAGGAGGAGGAGGAGGAGGAGGAGGAGTAGGATGATGGGCACCATTTGGCTGCGCCTTCGACAGGCTGGTCCAGTGGACCAGAGCGAGTTGATACAGTGCAAAGCCCCCGTAGATAAGTGTAACCTCGATTTCTGGTACCGATGCGCAGCGGCGGGGAAAGCCCCCTCCTTACCTTGCTCCTGATGATGCTCCTGCTCCTCCTTCTTCCTTTCCCCTCCCTCCGTCGTCGTCGTCGTCGTCCTCGTCGTCGTCCTCCCCCTATTCCACCCCCTCCTTCCCCTTTATCCCTTTCTCTTTCCCTCCTCCTCCTCCTCCTTCTCCTTCTCCCTCTCCTCCTCCTTCTCATCCTCCCCTCCTCCTCCACCTCCTCCATTCCTCCTCGTCTTCATCCTCCTGTTCTCCCTCCTACTCCTCGTCCTCCTCCCATTCTTCCGGTTTCTGCTTCGCCCCCCCTCCTGCTCCCAGTCCTCTTCGCCCTCCCATTCCTTATATTCCTTCTCTATCTCATCGTCCTCCCCTTCTCCTCTTTCCCCTCTGCGTCCTCCTGAGGAAACCTCCGCAAGCCTCCAGAAACATCAGGTAACTTCACCCAGAGGTGTCAGATGCTTGGGGGTTTCATTTCCCGAAGACATCCGAACGTCTCTGGATGCCACTGATAACCTATCGGAGGATATCCCAATTCTTTTACAGGCCTCCGAAAACCTGAAGCCAACATGGTGGGGGAGGAGGGCGAAGAGTGGGAGGAGGGAGGGAGGGAGGGAGGGATGGACGGGGAGGAGAAGGTGGACGATGATGATGAGGATGATGACGAGGAGGATGATGATCATGATGATGATGATGTTGATGATGCTGATGATGATGATGCTGTTGCTGCTGCTGCTGATGATGATGCTGACTATGATGATGGTGATGATTATGCTGATGCTGCTGACGATGATGATACTGCTGCTGATGATGATGCTGATGATGCTAAAGAGGCCTATTATGATGATGCTGATGATGATGCTGATGCTGCTGCTGCTGCTGATGATGATGATGATGATGGTGATGTTATTGCTGATGATTGTGATGGTTGTGATGCTGTTGTTGATGATGACGATGACGACGACGATGACGATGACGATGATGCTGCTGATGATGCTGCTGCTAATGATTATGATGATGATGATGTTGTTGTTGTTGATGATGATGATGATGATGATGATGATGATGATGATGGTGGTGGTGGTGGTGGTGGTGATGATGATGATGATGATGATGATGAGGAGGAGGAGGAGGAGGAAGAGGAGGAGGAGGACGAGGAGGAGGAGGAGGAGGAGGAGGAGGAGGAGGAGGAGGAGGAGGAGGAGGAGTGGGGAAGGCGAGGGGGAGGAGCAGGCGGATACTTGCATTCTTTCCCAATGGAAAGCAGGGCCGGGGTGGAGGAGGGGGAGGAGGAGGCGAAGGACAGGAGGAGGAGGAGGAGGAGGAGGAGGAGGAATGAGGGGAGGAGGAGGACAGGAGGAGGAGGAGGAGGAGGGAGGAGGAGGAGGAGGAGGAGGAGGAGGAGGAGCGGGATGCTCCTCCGAGGAGGTGGAGCAGGAGCAGGAGGAATCTTCTCCGTCTACGTGGCCTCGGAAGAGCGGATTTACAGTTTTTTTTTGCCAGGGATCGTGACGTCGATGCACGCAGAAGTCGGCTACGAGAGGCGGGGGACCCTTCAGAAGATCTGAAAGAGCGCGTTCTGTGGACACGGAGGGGGGAGGTTCAGAACCTTCCTCCCCCCCCCTCGGATGCAGGGCCCCCCGCACCCCTCCAATGCTCCCTACTCGCCGCCGGCAAAGGACGCCTACGACGACTACGGCGACGACGTCAGCGGCGGCGGCGGCGGATACGGCCCCGGCGCTGGCGCCAGAGCCAGGGGGGGGGGGATCGCCCCTCCCTCCCCCTACTAGCCGCTGGCAGACCATCAATCGCCATCATCATCGTCGTTGTCGTCATTGGCCTCACGAGAATGGTGATGGTGGTAGTCATGGTGGTCACGGTGACGGTGACGGTGGTGGTGGTGGTGGTGGTGATGGTGGTGATGGTGATGGTGTTGATGATGTTAATGGTGACGGTGATTATGATACTGCTGATGATGATGTCGATGACGGTGATGATGATGTTGATGATGATGGGGATGCTGTTTATAGATACAATCATAACGTTTTTTTTGGATTGTAAATGAGGGTATATAATGATGATGCTGCTGCTGCTGATGATGGTGATGATGATGATAACGACGCGCCGACAATGTCGACGATGGCGACGACGTCGACGATCACGACGACGACGATGATGATGAGGATGATAATGATGATGATGATGCTGATAATGATGCTGATGATGACGATGTTGCTGATGATGATGGTGATGGTGATGATGATGATGATGATGATGATGATGATGGTGACGACGATGATGCTGATGATGATAATGATGATGGTGGTGGTGATTATGATGATGATGATGTTGATGATGCTGCTGATGATGCTGCTGATGCTGACGCTGATTCTGATGGTGACGATGATGACGACGATGACGATGATGCTGATGATGATGATGCTGACAATGATTATGCTGATGATGGTGATGATGAGGATGACGATAAAGAGGACGATGATGACGATGATGTTAATGATAATGATAATGACGCCGATGATGATAATGATGACATGATGACCATGATGATACTGATGCTGATGCTGCTGCGGATTAAAATGCTGATGATGACTTTGATGCTGATGAGGATGCTGCTGCTGATGCTGCTGCTGTTGTTGACGATGATGACGATGATGATACACAGGATGGTGCTGCTGCTGATGATGATGCGGATGATGATGCTGATGCTAATGCTGATGCTGATGCTGATGATGTTGTTGTTGATGATGCTACTGCTGATGATGATGATGATGGTGATGGTGATGGTGATGGTGATGATGCTGCTGATGATGATGACGATAATGATTATGCTGATGATGATGACGATGATGATGATGATGATGATGATGATGATGATGATGATGATGATGATGATGTTGATGATACTGATGATTATGATGATGGTGATGATGCTGATGATGATGTTGATGCTGTTGATGATGATGATGATGATGATGATGATGATGATGATGATGATGATTATTGTGGTGGTGGTGGTGATTAGTGCGAAGGCCTTACGGCCAGTGCCGCCGACCCTGAAGTGGAACGACGACAAGGGCGGCTGTCTCGACGACGACGATGTTGACGTGGGTCAGAGTCCATATGGATGCTTCTTGGGGCTCTTCGCAGCGCTCTTGGGGGCCTCTGGCGGACAGTTGAGGGGCGTTTGTGGAGCCTCTCGGGGGCCTCTTGGGAGCCTCTTGGGCGCCTCTCGGGGCTTCCTGGGGGCCTCATGGGGCCTGTTGGGGGCCTCTTGGTTCCTCCTAGGAGCCTCTCGGGGCCGCGGACTCGAAATGTCCGTTCTCGTCCCTCGTCTGGGCACCCTCTTGGAGCCGTCTTGGGGGCCTCTTGGGCCGTCTTGGAGGCGTTTTGGGCCGTCTTGGGACCTCTTGGGCAGCTCTGGGTCCCTCCTGGAGCGCTCTTGAGCCACCTTCTTGGGGCGATCTGGGGGGCCTCTTGGGCCGTCTTGGAGCGTCGGGAAGCGGAAGAGGCGAGAACGCCGAAATGCTTCAAAGTCCAATGGGAAATCAGCGATTTTTCATCTTGGGGCTCTCTCTTGGGAGTGCTCCTCCATATCTCTTGGGGCGTATTGCAGGCTTCTAGGGCCGTCTGGAGGCTGTCAAAACTTCTTGGACCGATCGTTCGGTGATTCGGGGTCCTCTTGGAAGGTGTTGGGCGTCTCTGGGGGCACTCCTGGCTCGTCTGCGGACCCTGGCCCCCGCCGACGGAGGATGGTATTCTGACCCGGGACCCCCTGCCACCCCCCAGGATCCCTCCGGGACGCCCCCCCCCGGGACCACTCCCTGGGACCCCCACCCTGGCGGGGAAGGGATGAAAGGGGAGGGGCTTCCCTTCGAATCAATGACGACGTTGTTCAATTTCGCTTTGGCTTTGGCGTTTCGCTTTCGCTTTGGCTGGCGCTCTTGAGGAGGAGGACCGAGGACAAGGGGGTGAGGGAGCGGCGACGACGACGGCGACGGCGACGGCGACGACGATGACGACGAATCAAACGGAACAGCGTCAACAGCCTCTTCGGGAAAGGAGGGGAAGCGACGACGACGACGGGGACAGCTTCTTCCACACGCCGACAGGGTCTGCGGATCATGAGTATGATGATGTTGACGACGACGTTTATGATGATGTTAACGGTGATAATATGAATGATGATAGTACTGACGATGACCATGACGACGATGATAAGTATGATGCTGCTGCTGATCATGATTATGATGAAGTTGCCGACGACTGTGATGATGATGGCTTCTCGTATAATGTCCCGCCCGCCCGACGATGGACATGGTGATGGTGACGGCCGTGGTGGTGGTGGTGGTGATGGTGGTGATGGTGGTGGCGTTGATAATGATCTTGATGATGACGGGGGGACTCATGATGATGACGACCATGCCGATTACGACGATGACGATCACGATGGCGATGTTGCTGCTAATGATGAGGATGACGACGACGATGATTTTGAAGATGATCATGGTAACGATGCTGATGATGATAATGATGATGAGGATGATGACTATGCGGTCGACGACAACACCGATGATGGTGACGATGAGGACACTGACCCATTTCATGTCCCACCCGCCCGATCCGACGCACCCGTGAGGGCTTTTGCTTGCCAACTCATTCTGCACCATTCTTCAATAATGTCCCACCCGCCTGACCCGATGATTGCGAAGGTGATGGCGATGACTGACGACGAGGGTAGGGATGATGAAGGTGATGGTGATAGTTACTGGTGGTGATGATGATGACGCTGCTGCCGATGATGATGATGATGATGATGATGATGATGATGGTGATGCTGATGATGATGATGCTGATGATGATGATGAGGATGCTGACGATGCTGATGCTGATTATGATGATGATGGTGATAATGCTGATGGTGATGCTGATTCTGAGGATGATGATGATGATGATCATGATGATGATGATGCTGAAGATGAGGATGACGATCGTGAGAATGGGGATGAGGATGATGTCGATGGTGATGGTGGCGCTTCAACTGCTGCGGAGGATTATCAGGATGACGAGAATGGCGATGAAGATGATGATGATGATGCTGATGATGATGATGTTGATGATGTGGATGATGATCATCATCATCATCATCATCCAGAATGGCCCAGCTGATCAGGATTATGATGATGGTGATGGTGAGGATGGCAAGGATTGTGTTTTTGATGATGTCCTGGATGCTGATGGTGATGGTGATGATGATGATAATCAGGAGGATGATAAATGATGACGACGACGATGATGATGATGATGTTGATGATGTTGATGATGAAGAGGATGATGATAATGACGACGGCAATGCTGATGACCATGATGATGATAATGATGACCCTGGTGATGTTTTTCATGATGATGAAGACGATGTTGATGATGATGATGATGATGACGATGATGATGATGCTGATGATGATGATGAGTAGGACGTTATTGATGATGATGGTGCTGCTGATGGTGATACTGTTGGTGATGATGGTGCTGATGATGATGATGACGATGAGGATGATGATAATGATTACTGATGATGATGATGATGCTGATGATGCTGATGGTAATGGTAATGGTAATGATAATGATAAGGATCTTGTTGTTGACGATGAGGATGGTGATGATGATGATGATGATGATGACGAAGATGGTGATGATGATGATGATAATGATGATGTTGATGATGATGCTGATGTTGATGTTGATGATGATGATGATGATGATGATGATGATGATGATGATGATGATGATGAGGATGATGATGATGATGATGATGATGATGATGATGATGATGATGATACTGCTGCTGCTGCTGCTGCTGATGATGATGATGGTGGTGGTGGTGGTGGTGGTGGTGATAATGATGATGATGATGATGGTGGTGGTGATGATGATGATGGTGATGATGATGATGATGATGATGATGATGATGATGATGATGATGATGGTGATGATGGTTTGCTTGCGGCGAGTGGGAAGGTGGGGTGAAGGTCGATCCCCTTCCTTGTGTGCCGGCGCGTGCGTCGGCGCCGGCGCCGGATGCGCCGCCGCCGCCGCCGCACCTGACGTCGTTGTCGTCGTCGGCGTCGTCGTCGTCACGTCGTCGTCGTCGTCGTCGTCGTCGTCCTAGGCGTCTTGTGCCGGCGGCGAATACGGGGGGGAGGTTTTGGGGGGTTCTGGGGGGGTCTGTTGGGGGGGAGGGGTGCCTCGCCTGTTATTCCGAGCCCGCGCCGCTCGATTACGACGCGTTGCTGAATGTTTCCCACGCAAGCGTCCGCGAAGCGCGTTTTCTCGAAGACTGCAGAAGCCCTGCCAGACAGCAGTTTGCATTCCCACACGCTTCAACGTGCCAGGGGGCACGGTGGCGGATTTAGTGTTCCTAATGGTAGACGCTTCACTGTATTGGGTGACTGCCTCGGCGATCGACGCTCTATCCGCGCTCCTGCGGCTGCCTCCAACCCTGGACGCAAGCTTGGTCTCCCGAGGCCAGATTTTTGTCCATGCCCCGCGCCGATCGCTCGGGTCAGATTACCGAGTGCGCGCGCACGCTGGCACCTGCTCGGTTGCAACTCCTGGGAGGTTTAAACCGGCCTAATCTGGTATAGTCCGGCTTGATCTGGCTTGAGCCCGCCTAGGCTGGCGCAATCGTGATTAATCCTGGGACTAATCCCGCTTAGTCCAGCTTAATGGCCTTTAATTTGGCTCCACATCCTTCAATTTTTCTTGCGAGGAGCAAGATCTGACTCCTGAGGTGTGAACTGCCCAGCAGTTGCCTCCTCAGGCATCCTGTCTGTGCGGTCGAAGCTCGGGCTGAGCGCGGGAGCGCCCAGCGGAGGCACTGGATGCTTTGGGGGGCATTGCAGAGCCCCGCCCTGCGGGCCACCGCCCGACGCGCGCGCCGCGGCAGACGCTGTCCTCGACGTCCACGGCGTCCACGACAACGTCCGTCTCGACGACGTCCGCAACGACGAGGTCCGAGACGAGCTGGACGCCCTCGACGACCGCGACGCCCTGCGTGGCCGGCCGAGGCCGCGGGGCGCCGAGGCGCGGGAGGGGGCAGAGGCCCAGATCCAACCAGCATCTTGCTGCCCTCTCTCCTCATTCCTCCTCCCTCCTCCTTCTCCCTTTCCCTCACTCCTCCTCCCTCACTCCTCCTCCTCCCTCACTCCTCCTTCTCCTCCTCCTCCTCCTCCTCCTCCTCCCTCACTCCTCCTCCTCCTCCTCCTCCTACCTCCTACTACTACTACTACTATACTACTACTACTACTACTACTACTACTACTACTACTACTACTACTACTACTACTACTACTACTACTATACTACTACTACTACTACTACTAGTAGTACTGACTAGACTACTACTACTACTACTACTATACTACTACTACTACTATACTACTACTACTACACTACTACTACTACTACTACTACTACTACTACTACTACTACTACTACTACTACTACTACTACTACTACTCTACTACTACTACTACTACTACTACTACTACTACTACTACTACTACTACTACTACTACTACTACTACTACTACTACTACTACTACTACTACTACTACTACTACTACTACTACTACTACTACTACTACTACTACTACTACTACTACTACTACTACTACTACTACTACTACTACTACTACTACTACTACTACTACTACTACTACTACTACTACTACTACTACTACTACTACTACTACTACTACTACTACTACTACTACTACTACTACTACTACTACTACTACTACTACTACTACCTACTACTACGCCGACTCTCTCTTCCTCTCCTCCTTTCTCCTCCTCCTCCCCCCCTCCCCCTCCTCCTCTCCTCTCCTCTCCTCCTCCTCCTCCTACTCCTCCTCCTACTCCTACTCCTCCTCCCTCACTCCTCCTCCTCCTCCTCCTCCTCCTGCGCTCTTCCCCCGCTCCTCAGAGCTGGCCGCGCCGCAGGCTCAGTGGGATGAAAAACCAAAGTGTTGCAGACAACATCTGTCAGTGGACTGGGCTGCGGGGGGACCACACGGCCTCGTCCCCAGGCCAAACATGTGGGGGGCCGAGGTCGGTCTTATCCCACCAGTTCGTTGCAATAGGGGGGACATTCCGTCCTCGTCCCGCGCCATGGATTCTCCCAGATGTTCCTGACCAGAGGCGCCCCTGCAGCTCCCTAAGTTTCCTCCCATCCTGCACTATCCTATCTCACTTTGCTTCTCATCGTTTCCCCAATTCGGCTTGCCTGGTCGTTCATAGTTGGATTCTTCTTGGCCTCCCGTCTCTTCCGATATTTTGCATGACTATTGCTCTTTTAAGTTCAAGCGAAGTTGCGAACTTGACTTCCCCACCGCATCCATCCATGTGAAGGGGGTCCAGCAGTCGTCACAGGCGTGACCAGACCAATCCTGGAGCAGGGCCGCACCGCAATGGAATAATGAGGCTGGAGTAGTACAAGGGCGGTTGGGCGGGACAGCACGCGAACAATTGTTCGTGGCCGCGCGCGGCGGGGAGGCTTCTCCTGGTGTTCCCACTGGTCCGATCATCCCACGCATTTGTGGCGCCGATGCATTTCCAGGGCGAATCCGTACCAGTTAGCTAGACACGTTCATGGCTCGCTTCGCGTGGGAAACATGTGGATGGCTGGCGTGAGGGGAGGGGGATGAGGTAACCCGTGCATGTTGAGGTGTGACAGAGCTGAAGGAGGAGGATAGCCTTGGGAGAGGAAGCTGGGGCCTGCAGCACCGGAATGTTTTTTTGGATCCCCAGGTCATTTTGCTTGGGAAGACGTCAGTATTGACCAAATCGACATGGGAGGTGTAGAACTCTTTCCGCTGGCGCGCCCTTCCCCATCGCCAGAATGTATCGACATCCGCCCTGTAATCGTGCTCCAGGATCTCGAACGCCTCTCGAGAAGTGGTGGATGTGAAGCATCCATAGCCACCGTCCCCCAGGGGTCTGTGGTAGGATTGGGCAGCTGTGGATGTGGATATCCTATCCAATGCCGGTCATCCTTCCTCGAACTCATGTGCCGACCCAGACAATGCTTTCCTACGCTTCAACATTGTCGGGGGCGACATTGGAGGGGCAAACGGGGGCGACATTGCAGGGGACGCGTCAACAACTTCTGAGGGTTATTATCGACGGTTGTACAGTCGAGCATATGATTGAGAAACCTCCTCCGAAAAGCTGGGTCCACCGTTTCTTGACCAGCCTGCTGGAAAGCTGGCCAAGTTTCTGAAGTACGTTCGTCCTTCCAGCGCCTCAGCCTCAACCCTCCCCATCTTTAATTCTCTATCGTAAGGGGGGGGTGGCCTAACCGACCCCTAGCAAACCATCCCCTTCGGTGATGTCCCCCTCGCTTCGCCCCAAGACGTACGTATGCGGCCGGAGGGAAGCCTGAAAGGCGAGGATGACGTCACGGAAGGGGATGGTTTGCTGGGGGTCGGTTGGGCCGCGCCCGATATCGGAATGCATCCCGGAATAGCTCCTTCCCTCTTTGCTGCAGGTTGCCCACAGGGGCGCGGATGCAGCCCCGAGTCGCGTGGCGCGGCGTGCGGCGCGCGGGGTCAGGCGGCCTCGACCTTCTTGTGGCAGCCATGCCAGGTGGAGGATGAGGAGGGGGAACGGGGAGGGTGGGCGGGGAAGGAGGAGGAGGAGGAGGAGGAGGAGGAGGAGGAGGAGGAGGAGGAGGAGGAGGAGCAGGAGGGAGGAGGAGGAGGAGGAGGAGGAGGAGGAGGAGGAGGGGGGGAGGAGGAGGAGGAGGAGGAGGAGGAGGAGGAGGAGGAGCAGGAGGAGGAGGAGGAGGAGGAGGAGGAGGAGGAGGAGGAGGAGGAGGAGGAGGAGGAGGAGGAGGAGTGGAGGAGAGGGGGGGCGGAGGACCGGGAGCTGGAAAGGGAAGCCTAGGCCCGCGACAGCGGGGATGGTGTGCGGCGCCCTCTCGGTCGGCACCCTCCCCTGAGATCCGACGTCGCGAAACAGTCTGCAGGATCGAGGGAGATCGCGACCAGGCTCTTGGCCAGGACGCGAGTTCGGTCGGCCGCACCGCCGTCGGCCGCGCTCGACCTCGGGCAGGCTCTGCCGCGGCGCCGCCGCCGCGCCCTTCTCCAGCCGCTCTCGGCCTTCGAGTAACGAAAAGCGGCATGACCATAGTCCCTCGGAGGTCCGCGCAGACTTCTTGGATCGGCGCTGGTCCCCCCTCGCGGCGCCTCTGGCGCCGCCCCTGGCGCACTCCGCGCGCTAGGGAGGCGGGTCCAGGACATCCGTCCGGACATAAGATGAATCATGATCATGCCGCTTTGTGTTCCTGTACCCACCTCTCTGCGGCACCTCTCCAGCCAGATCGATCCCGCTGCCGGGCCCAGGGCACTCAAAGCAGGGCGACAGCGCACGTTATATATATATATATATATATATATATAGAGAGAGAGAGAGAGAGAGAGAGAGAGAGAGAGAGAGAGCCGGCCCTCGCAGCAGCGGCGGGCGTCTCGGAAGCCCTCCTGCCTTCCGAGGAGCCCTCGGGTGGCTCCGGAGAAGGCTCAGGAAGATTCTCGGAAGGCCAGGGGCCTTCCGAGCCTTCTGCGACCGCCTTCCCCGCCGGGCGGCCAAATCTCGGTGGAGGGATCCGCTGGGCGCGCCGTTTCGTGCTCGCGCGGCTGCGCGCGGGGCACGGCGGGAGGCCCCTCGCCGAGGAAGGGCAGCGAATGGCAGGGAGGAGGAGGCAGCGAAGGGGAGGGGGAGGGGGAGCGGAGGGGGCGCGGAGGGGTCGACGCCGATCTTCGTCACGGTCCGTGCCAGCCGTTGCCGATTCGCGAGGGTGATCCACGAGCTGGCCATGTCCAAGAGGGACGATGGCCAGACCAAGGTCGACACCCGCGTCTCCTCGTTCAGCCTTGGTCATGGCCATCGTTCTGTTCCCCTCCAGGTCTGTCGGCCCGGATCAGGCTCGGCCGGCTTCGGTCTCGCTGTCGGCCCGATCGATCCTCGGCTCTGCCCTTGCCGTGGACGCCTGTGGCTTGCCGGGGCCGCCGACGATCCGATTCGATGCGATCCGGTTCGCCGGCTGGGCCCGTGATTCCGATTCGATTCGGCTCCGTTCGGTTCACCGGCGTCGGCCAGGGCCGGCCGAGGCCGGGCGCGGCGATCCGATTGCGGCTCGTTTCGGGACGACTCGCTGGCGATCCGATCTGTTTCCGATCCGAGCCGATGCGCTCCGGCTCGCCGGCTGGGCCCTGCGGCTCCGACCCGACGCGATGCCACCAGCCTTGGCCCTGGCCCTCTCGCCCTCGGTCCCTCCAGTCGGGCCAGGCGGCCCGGCGCCCGCACCTCCAGGGGTCGTGGCGCGCGGAGCCGAGCGAGCCAGGTGGACTGGGTGCCCGAGGCCTTCGGCTACGCGGGCGTGAGCCAGTGGACCGACGCGGTCGGGCAGCCCTGCGACTTCTACGCCCCCGGCCTCGGCGGCGCGGCCCGGCTCCGCGGCCGGGGGCCGCGGGTGGAGGGTGTCGAGCTCGAGGGTCGAGCTGGAGGGTCGAGCTCGAGGGTCGAGGTCGAGGAGCAGGTCGAGGAGGATCGAGGCTGAGGATCGAGGCTGAGGATCGAGGCTGAGGATCGAGGGTGAGGATCCAGGATGAGGATAGAGGATGGCCGAGGAGGACTGGGGAAGGGTCGGAGGGCATCGAGGAGAAGCTGCTGAAGGAGGACGAAGATCGGGGATCGAGGAGGAAGACAGGGACAGAGGACCTCCGTGCGCACCCCCTCCTCCTGTCTCTCCACCTCGGCGCGCCCGGTCCTGCTGCCCTCTCTTCAACACGACAGGCTTCTCGCGCCGCGCCGACGCACCGCGGCGGCCCCCCCGCGCGGGCGTTCCAGGTGGATCGCCGCGGGTGGGCCAGAGTCCGCCGATGTATCGAGCGGTCTGTGCCATCGGAAAGGCACCGCCTTTCATTGTGGAGCGCTCGGCGCGGTGTCAGAGGCTCGAGTAGGCGATCGGCTAAAGAATTGAGTTACCCCAAATTGATTTCTCGTCGAATCTACGAAAAATGCGTAGAATGCTCGAAGATCCAGGGAGCAATCTTCGCATTTTTTTGCAGATTCGTCTGAAATTAATTTGGGAGTGCATCAATTTTGTAGTCGATCCCCTACTCGAGAGACCAGCGCCGCTGTCATTGTGACGTGAACACGATAAGAAGCTGGTCTGACCACAGGTGCCCCATGGGCGTTCTCCTTCTTTCCCGATGGCTCTGGGCCCCGAGATTTCTCTTGTAGCACGGCTTCTTAGTGTGTATGTGCTATTCGGTCGAAGGCCAGACGACGTCATGCAGAGAGACTTTCTCGGAGGTTCTCGCGGGTCTCTTGGGTCGTAGCTGGGCCCCCCTCTCCCCCCCCTTTCCAGGCGAGCGGAGCGCGTCGGAGGCGGCGCGAATGGCGCCGCCAGGGGGCGTGGGGAAGAGGTGCAGCGCCGACCAAAGAAATCCGAGCGGAACGTGTGTGTGTGTGTGTGTGTGTATATATGATGGTTTTGGTCTGCTGCATCGGAGGATCGCCACGACCGCCCGCCCATACAGGGGGGCAGATCAGGGGGCGCCGCAATGGGTGGCCGAGTCCCAGGGGAGAACACATCGACCCGGGTGCACGACGGGAGGTGTGGTTTCGCCATCGGGGGGCTACCGTCGATGCATCGGCGATGCATCGCGGATGCCGGGTCGAGGTTCCCCCCCCCCGAGTCGGCCCAAGACGCAGATAAAGTGATGTCTTGCTTTTTCAATGCGGGGTTCCTGGAAGTCCCGACCCTTTCCCCGGGCGGTTTTCCATCCCGAGTTGCTTTTTAGCGGTCCCAGGGCCCTGCGAGGGCCCCAGCGGCTGAAAACGACCACCTCCCCCCCGTCGGTTTTTACCTAACAGCGTTTGCTGATAGGTTTCTAGTGGACTCAAAAGAGAGCATCTGATGGCTCCACAGGGGGGTCTGGGCGGGTGCCGGGGAAAATAACCGGGAACAGAGCCGGGCTCGTTTTAAGCCAACAGTCACACACTTCGTGCTCTTCGACCTCCCAGAACTCCATTCCCGGGCCACATTTTGAATAACCGGAGCCAACTGTAGGCCACTTCGTGCTCTTCGACTTCCCAGAACTCCATTCCCGGGCCACATTTTGGATGCCCGGAGCCAACTGTAGGCCACTTCGTGCTCTTCGACTTCCCAGAACTCCATTCCCGGGCCACATTTTGGATGCCCGGAGCCAACTGTAGGCCACTTCGTGCTCTTCGAGTTCCCAGAACTCCATTCCCGGGCCACATTTTGAATGCCCGGAGCCAACTGTAGGCCACTTCGTGGTCTTCGAGTTCCCAGAACTCCATTCCTGGGCATGATTTTGAATGCCCGGAGCCAACTGTAGGCCACTTCGTGTTCTTCGAGTTCCCAGAATTCTATTCCCGGGCCACATTTTGAATGCTGAGACAGGCTGAGGCTGAGGCTGAAGCAGGCTGAGGCTGAGGCAGGCTGAGGCTGAGGCCGAGGCTGAAGGCAGACTGAGGCTGAGGCTGAAGCAGGCTGAGGCTGAGGCTGAGGCAGGCTGAGGCTGAGGCTGAGGCAGGCTGATGCTGAGGCAGGCTGAGGCTGAGGCTGAGGCTGATGCAGGCTGAGGCTGAGGCAGGCTGAGGCTGAGGCCAAGGCTGAAGGCAGACTGAGGCTTTGGCTGAAGCAGGCTGAGGCTGAGGCTGAGGCTGAGGCTGAGGCTGAGGCTGAGGCTGAGGCAGGCTGATGCTGAGGCAGGCTGAGGCTGAGGCTGAGGCTGAGGCTGAGGCTGATGCAGGCTGAGGCTGAGGCAGGCTGAGGCGGAGGCCGAGGCTGAAGGCAGACTGAGGCTGAGGCTGAAGCAGGCTGAGGCTGAGGCTGAGGCAGGCTGAGGCTGAGGCTGAGGCTGAGGCTGAGGCTGAGGCAGGCTGAGGCTGAGGCTGAGGCTGAGGCTGAGGCTGAGGCAGGCTGAGGCTGAGGCCGAGGCTGAGGCTGAGACTGAGGCAGACTGAGGCTGAGGCTGAAGCAGGCTGAGGCTGAGGCTGAGGCAGGCTGAGGCTGAGGCTGAGGCTGAGGCTGAGGCTGAGGCTGAGGCTGCAGGCTGAGGCTGAGGCAGGCTGAGGCTGAGGCCGAGGCTGAAGGCAGACTGAGGCTGAGGCTGAAGCAGGCTGAGGCTGAGGCTGAGGCAGGCTGAGGCTGAGGCAGGCTGAGGCTGAGGCTGAGGCAGGCTGAGGCTGAGGCTGTGACTGCGACTGCCGTTGCCACTGCGACTGTCATCGCGAATGCGACTACGACTGCGAGAACAGCAGAATTCTACAACTGGATTCTCATCCGAATCTTAAGGGGAATGCTTCCAGATATGCTCCTACACATCGCTGTTAGGTTGCTTTGCCGGGATAATTGTTGTGCTTTCTTTTGTTTTATTTCGCTTTGTTACCTAACAGCTTTTGCTGATAGGTTTCTAGTGGTGTCAAAAGAATGCATCATGACTCCTCAGGGGGGTCTGGGCGGGTGCCGGGGAGGAGAACTGGGAATCGTTTTTCGCCAACAGTCACGCACTTCGTGCTCTTCGACCTCCCAGAACTCCATTCCCAGGACATTCTGGAGAACCGGGAACAGAGCCGGGCTCGCTTTTCGCCAACAGTCACACACTTCGTGCTCTTCGACCTTCCAGAACTCCATTCCCGGGCCACTTTCTGGAGAACCGGGAACAGAGTGGCGCGTTTTTTGTCAACCGTCACACACTTCGTGGTCTTCGACCTCCCAGAACTCCATTCCCGGGCCACATTTTGAGTGCCCGGAGCCAACTGTAGGCCACTTCGTGCTCTTCGAGTTCCCAGAACTCCATTCCCGGGCCACATTTTGGATGCCCGGAGCCAACTGTAGGCCACTTCGTGCTCTTCGATTTCCCAGAACTCCATTCCCGGGCCACATTTTGGATGCCCGGAGCCAACTGTAGGCCACTTCGTGCTCTTCAGTTCCCAGAACTCCATTCCTGGGCATGATTTTGAATGCCCGGAGCCAACTGTAGGCCACTTCGTGTTCTTCTAGTTCCCAGAACTCCATTCCTGGGCCACATTTTGAATGCTGAGGCAGGCTGATGCTGCGGCCGAGGCAGGCTGAGGCTGAGGCAGGCTGAGGCTGAGGCCGAGGCTGAAGGCAGACTGAGGCTGAGGCTGAAGCAGACTGAGGCTGAGGCTGAGGCAGGCTGAGGCTGAGGCTGAAGCAGGCTGATGCTGAGGCAGGCTGAGGCTGAGGCTGAGGCTGATGCAGGCTGAGGCTGAGGCAGGCTGAGGCTGAGGCCGAGGCTGAAGGCAGACTGAGGCTGAGGCTGAAGCAGGCTGAGGCTGAGGCTGAGGCAGGCTGAGGCTGAGGCAGGCTGAGGCTGAGGCTGAGGCAGGCTGAGGCTGAGGCTGTGACTGCGACTGCCGTTGCCGCTGCGACTGTCATCGCGAATGCGACTACGACTGCGAGAACAGCAGAATTCTACAACTGGATTTTCATCTGAATCTTAAGGGGAATGCTTTCAGATATGCTTCTACATATCGCTGTTAGGTTGCTTTGCCGGGATAATCTTTTTTGTTTAAATAAAGTGAGAACAAACCAACGCAAGCATTGGGGACAGCCGAAAGAGCGTTTTCTGCCGCTGCTGGCATGGGGGGGGTCTGGACCCCTCCCGGTAAAATTATCGGGGGTGTCCAGAACCCCCCTCCGGAAAAATGTGTGGGGGGTCCAGAGCCCCCCCCTCCCCACTCGAAACAAGATATTGGGGGAGTCCAGAACACTTCCCTCACGACGACGACGACGATGATCGACGACGACGATCGACTCACGACGCACGACGCACGACGCACGACGACGACCATCGACGACGACGCACGACGCACGACGCACGACGCACGACGCACGACGCCGATCCTGACGCCGACGCCGACGCACGACGCCGACGACGCCGACGACGACGCCGCCGACGACGACGACGACCATGAGCAGAGTAGAGTAGGCGTAAGGTCGAGTGTAGTAAGATTCGAGAAGAGGTTCGAGTAGTAGAGTAGACTGGGATACGGTATTGTAGAGAAGAGTAGGGCAGAGTAGAGTAGAGTCGTGGTGTATATCAGAAATAGAGTCGAGCAGAGCAGAGCTGAGTCGAGTTGATCAGAGTAGGAGTAGAGTACAGTAGAGTAGAGTAGGAGCAAGGTAGAGTACTGTAGGGAATGTAAGGGTACAGTAGGGTCGAGTAGAGTAGAACAGGGCGGGGCAGAGTAGAGTAGAGTAGAGTAGAGTAGAGTAGAACATACTATAGTAGAGTATCGTACGAATCCAGTGGAGTAGAGTATACTATGTTAGGATAAGGTAGGGTAGAGTAGAGCAGGGTCGAGTAGAGTAGGGCAAACATCGTGGTGTAGAGAAATAGTGTAGTAGGAGTAGAGTAGAATAGAGTAGAACCGGAACAACATAGAGTAGAGTAGATAACGTTAGGGTACGGTCGGATATAGTAGGGTAGAGTAGAGAAGGACCGAGTCGAGTAGAGTAGAGGTGAGTCGAGTACTTACGGTGCAAAGTAGAGTAGAATAAGAGCAACGTGGAGTAGAGCAGGGTGTGTCAGGATGGAGTTAGGTCTGGCACCGCAGCGTGGCTGTGTGCCGCCGCTGCCTGGGGGGGCGGCGCGGCGGACGAGGACGCCGCTTGGGAGCCGGTCCTCGCGGGCGGGCGCCGCATGAGGCGCCTCGGCTGGAGGTGGTCGCTGGGCTGCCGTCTGTTGTTGTGGAAACATGGTGTTAGGATACTGTAGAGTAGAGTTGGGTAGAGTGGAGGCAGGGTAGGATAGAGTTGAGTAGAGTACAAGAACCTGGAGTCGAGCAGAGCAGGGTAGGGTACGGTACGGCCATAGTAGGATACTGAGAGGGCTGGATCGAGCCATTGTGGCATTCTATCAGAGCCAGCGCCTGGCGCTGGTGCGCAGGCGACTGGTGCGCCTCCGCCGCCGCCGCTGACGTCGTCGTCGTCGTCGTCGTCGTCGTCGTCGTCGTCGCCGGTGGGGGTGTGGTCCAAGACCCCCCAACATTTTCCTCCCTGTCTCCTGAGGCCCTAGACCATCCCTTCTTTTTGTTTGGGGGGGTTGTCTAGACCCCTCGTCATTCATTTTCCGGAAGGGGTGGGTGGGTTCTGGACCCTCCATGAACTTTCCCGGGGGGTGGGGGGGCGGTTCCACCCCCCAGGTTCTTCTGGAGGGGGTCGGTGTGGGGGGGAGGTGGCGGGGGGGGCGGGCTCCCCTTGGTTTTGACCCTCCCTTTTTTCCCACGTGGGAGGGGGGGAAGGGGGCCCCTGATTCCTGACCCAAGAGAAAGTTTTCAGGGCAGCGACTGTGGATCGCGCTCCCTCGCACAGCCCCACCACGGCTCAAGGGAGGAGGAGGAGGAGGAGGAGGAGGAGGAGGAGGAGGAGGAGGAGGAGGAGGAGGAGGAGGAGGAGGAGGAGGAGGAGGAGGAGGAGGAGGAGGAGGAGGAGGAGGAGGAGGAGGAGGAGGAGGGGGGGAGGAGGAGGAGGAGGAGGAGGAGGGAGGAGAGGAGGGAGGAGGAGAGGAGGAGGGGGAGGAGGAGGAGGCAGCGAAGGGGAGGGGGAGGGGGCGCGGGGTGGGGGGGCGCGGGGGGGTCGACGCCGATCTTCGTCATGGTCCGTGCCAGCCGTTGCCGTTTCGCGAGGGTGATCCACGAGCTGGCCATGTCCAAGAGGGACGATGACCAGACCAAGGTCGACACCCGCGTTTCCTCGTTCAGCCTTGGTCATGGCCATCGTTCTGTTTCCCCCCGGGTCTGTCGGCCCAGGTCAGGCTCGGCCAGCTTCGGTCTCGCTGCCGGCCCGATCGATCCTCGGCCCTGCCATCGCCGTGGACGCCTGTGGCCTGCCGGGGCCGCCAACGATCCGATTCGATGCGATCCGTTTCGCCAGCTGGGCCTGCGATTCCGATTCGATTCGGCTCGGTACGGTTCACCGGCGTCGGCCAGGGCCGGCCGAGGCCGGCCGAGGCCGGGCGCGGCGATCCGATTTCGGCCCGTTTCGGGACGATTCGCTGGCGATCCGATCTGTTTCTTATTTGGTCCGATTCTGCGGTTCGATCCAGCTCAGGCTGGCTTGTTCCCGTCGCACCCTTCGCCCCCCCCTCCCTTGGCTAGGTTGGGGTGAGAGTGAGGCGGGCGCCGCCGGGCCGAGGTCGAAAGGGACTGCTTCGAAGGCAACGCGAACGACTGGGCGAACCAGTGGGCAAACTACGGCAACTGGGCGGCGTCAACTGTACTCGGAGGGACACCAACAATACACCACCACCAGCTCTTGCCAGGTCCATCCTCGGCCCTGGACCGGTGTATAGACCTCCAGGCCTAGGCCGGGAGGGCCTGTACACCAGTCCAGGGCCCAGGATGGGCCTGGCCAGGGGTGGTGGTGGTGTACTGTTTGGAGCTCTCCCGTGTACACCAGCACCGAT